CTTCCCATGGTTTTACGGAGGTCCTGGACCATTACGAGAGGGAGTTTTTCCTACGTCCTTTAGTGAGTATCTGTAGAACCTTCATACAGATGCCTAGCTCCAAGACCCAGGCATGACCTTGCAGTCACTGGTGATCCTGCTTCCTTCATCTATCACCTTAAATTGAAGAACTGGGAAAAGTAGTGGAGATGAGGTAGTGACTGAACAGATGGAAGGCTGCTGGGGCAAGGGAAGCTTGGGGTAAAAGGGATGACCAAAGGTAGGGAGCGCAAAGAGGACGGTGGAGGGCCGAGCAGGCCACCTCCCACTTGGTTGGACAGTTTGCTTTCGGATGGAAATGGCTCATTCACCCCCAGGCCGGCAGTGCCACGTGTAGACTCCATCTGTGAGCCCATGTCCATCAGACCACTCCCTTTCTTCCACCCACCTCACTCACCTCCTAAGGTCTGGTGCTCTATGGAATGCAAGGATGCCCGAGGGCAGGCTAGCTAACTAGTCTATTTTTGCTTTTAACCAGTTACATTTACTTATTGCTCTATCAGATCAAGTCTTCCTTTCTTGCCCCTTTTTCCCCTCAAATGTTCACTGTGTACCTTTAGCTGCATGGATCAATTAAAACAGAATTAAACAAATCGGGGTTTACTTTCCCACTAGAACAAGAAGACCAGAGATAAGCAGCTGATGGCTCTGCTTAAGCAGCTCAGCTCTTCTGGACAAGCTTCCCTCGCCTCGCACAATTCTAGACAGCCACATTTTTGGGGGTGTGGCAACATGCTAATAAGAGAATTTAGCATTTCTAGCCTCTAGAGTGAAGGTGAACAAAAACAGGAATGGGTTTCAGTTAGGAAACCAACTACATCTTCCATAGCACTTTTGCCTTCTCCCCCCTGTATAGTGTTTTGTTGAACTGTACAAAGCTAACAAACATGGCCCAGGGTATCATTCCATAATTCTCTAAGAAATCCAGTCCCAAAGTTAGTCTTGCTTTCAAACTCCAGGCAGAGAAAGACCTGGAGAGTCTGCTCATTCCTGTGGTAAAGCGCAGTTCTGCAGATTCCAGGAGATCTCAACAGACTAGTTGATTTTGAGCCTCCTACCTCCTGGGTTAAGGCCCACTCATCACCCTCCTGCACCAAACTGCTGGCTCTAATTTTAAATTGAGAATACAGGAATCGAGAAAACAGGAAACTGATTTTTTGGGGGGAGTGTAAGGACAAAATGAAAACAGGAAGAAAAATGAAGACATACGGTTGATTCGGATCATTTCATTTTAAAAGGAAAAATAATCTCATATGAGTAACGAAAAAAATCAAAATTTAGAGTGAATAGGAATCTAAAATGGCTCTAAAAACTAAAGTCCTCTTTAAAAAAGACATAGTACTGGCTGGTTAAATAAATATGCAGGCTTGCTCATGTGGCATGCCTAGTGTTTATGAGATTTTAGTTAAATAGAAAAATGTGAATTACTATGGTTTGGGTGATGTGCTGTTTTCCAAATTAAAAACAGTATAGCAAAAATAACCTCTAGATATCTATAAATAATTAAATTGACAATAATTCACCTCCCAATGATTTCATGTTAAGTGTAAAGCAGATTTGATAAATCAAATTAAATCACGTCTTCTAATATTTTATAAAAATAAATCCATTTAATGTTTTGCATACTTTCTAAAAACAGAATATATGAGTAACAAAGTACATATGAACAAGAAACCAGCTCTCACAAGGACCAAAAAAAAATCTTTCTCATTAATTTCATCTAATATACTCTCAATATAAGCAAATGAGAAATTATAATTTTAATCTGAAAAAGCACACTCTGGGGATTTCAGAGATGGAGGGTCCCTTGGGAATCATTCAGAGCCAAGCCCTCATTTTACAAATGAAGAAACTGAAAACAAGAGGCAAGGGGCTTCCCCACAGCCAAAGGTCACTCTGGTCAAAGGCAGAGTCTGGACTGGGAGCCATGATTCTGAGGTCAAGGCCAGCCCTGCTCCACAGTGACTCACCTGCCCTGACTGGTCCTTTTCGTGGCAGGTTTATTTCCCCCTTTTGAAATTCAGCAGTCACAGAGATAAGAAATTGCATAACTGATCACCCCGTAGTGGGCCTGCAAGATTGTTTGCAAGTAAGCCAGCAGCTGGCAAAAATAACTGTTGATTTTATTAATCACCTCTCAAGAATATATTCAATAACCAAAAATGAAACTCCTTTCCAGAGTAAAAGATCATCTGTTACAGAAGTATGTGCACCTCTTCTAGGGGTACACAGGAATATCTGGTGCTTTGCAATTTTAATCCTGTAATTAAAAAAAATACCCATTCATGTCAAACAGCATTCAATATTGCCTGCAAAAGCAATAGAACTGTCTGTACTCTTGGATCCATATCCTTCTCTCATACACTGACCACAGCCTACTCCAACCTGCTTTTTGCCTCCACCACACCACAGAAACGGCCTCATTAAGGTCCACAATAAACTGTCAATAAACACAATGGTTGTTTTTCTATGCATGTCTACCTTGACGTCCCAGCAATACTGTCACCTTTGGCCACCCTCTCTCCCATGATACCATCCCCGTCTTCCTCCTAGCTCTTTGACTCTTCGTTTTCAGCTTCCTCTGTAGAAATACCTACCACTACCAGTATATGCTGGAGTTCCCCAAGGCTCAGTGTAGACTTCTTGCATTATGCTCTCTTCCAAGGTAAACTTGTTCTGGTCTGTGTTCTCATCCTCATCAGATGTGCCCCGGAAACTCCCTGTTTATCTCCACTCCACCCCAAAATCTCCTGTCCCAAAGACATACAGATAGGCACATGGAAAGACGCTCAGTATTGCTGATAATTAGAGACATGCACATCAAAATGACGAGATGTCATCTCACACCTGTCAGAACGACTATCTTCAAAAAGTCTACAAACAGCAAGTATTGATGAGGATGTGAAGAAAAGGGTACTCTTCTGCACTGCTGGTGGGAATCTAAACTGGTGCAGCCACTACGGAAAACAGGATGGAGGGTCCTCAGAAAGCTAAAAAGAGAACTCCCATACGATCCCGCAATTCCACTCCTGGGTATATATCTGGAAAAATATGAAAACTCTAATTTGAAAACATCGACAAACCCCAATGTTCATAGAAACACTATTTACAATAGTCAAGGTATGGAAGCAACCTAACTGTCCATCGACAGATGAACGGTAAAGATATGGTATATATGAATACATATATATATATATGTATATATATATATATATATACACACCACACACACACACATGTAAAAATACATAATGGAACTATTCAGCCTTAAAAAATAATTAAATTCTGCCATTTGCAGCAATGTGGATGGACCTAGAGATATTATGTTTAGTGAAGTAAGCCAGTAAGAAACACTCCTGGATGGCACAAACAAAAGCTTATGCGCACCAGGACCCAGAAGCAAGCAGCAGTGACCCCACGAGAGACTGACCCAGACTTGCCCGTGAGTGTCCAAGAGTCTCTGGGGAGGTGTGGGTCGGCAGCGGCCTGCTGCAGGGCTGGGGGCACTGAGCATAGCAGTGCGCGCCTGGGGCCTTTTGAAGGAGGTCGCCATTATCTTCATCACCTCCACCATAGTTTGGCCTCAGGTCAAACAACAGGGAGGGAACACAGCCCCGCCCATCAACAGAAAATTGGATTAAAGATTTACTGAGCATAGCCCTGCCCATGAGAACAAGATCCAATTTCCCCCTCAGTCAGTCTCTCCCATCAGGAAGTTTCCATAAGCCTCTTATCCTTCTCCATCAGAGGGCAGACAGACTGAAAACCACAATCACAGAAAACTAACCAATCTGATCACATGGACCACAGTCTTGTCTAACTCAATGAAACTATGAGCCATGCTGTGTAGGGCCACCCAAGATGGACAGGTCACGGTGGAGAGTTCTGACAAAACGTGGTCCACTGGAGAAGGGAATGGCAAACCACTTCAGTATTCCTGCCTTGAGAACCCCATGAACAGTATGAAAAGGCAAAGAGAGAGGACACTGCAAGATGAACTCCCCAGGTTAGTAGGTGTCCCATGTGCTACTGGGCATCAAAGGGTAAATAACTCCAGAAAGAATGAAGAGATGGAGCCAAAGCAAAAACAACACATAGTCATGGATGTGACTGGTGATGGAAGTACAGTCCGATGCTGTAAAGTGCAACATTGCATACGAACCTGGAATGTTAGGTCTATGAATGAAGGGAAATTGGAAGTGGTCAAACAAGAGATGGCAAAAGTAAACATCAACATTTTAGGAATCAGTGAACTAAAATGGACTGGAATGGGTGAATTTAACTCAGATGACCATTATATCTACTACTGTGGGCAAGAATCCCTTAGAAGAAATGAAGCAGCCATCATAGTCAACAAGAGTCCAAAATGCAGTACTTGGATGCAGTCTCAAAAATGACAGAATGACCTTTGTTTCCAAGGCAAATGACTCAATATCACAGTAATCTAAGTCTATGCCCCGACCAATAATGCTGAAGAAGCTGAAGTTGAACAGTTCTATGAAGACCTACAAGACCTTTAAAACTAACACCCAAAAAAGATGCCCTTTTCATTATTGGGGACTGGAATGCAAAAGTAGGAAGTCAAGAAATACCTGGAGTAACAGGCAAATTTGGCCTTGGAGTACAGAATGAAGCAGGGCAAAGGCTAATAGAATTTTGCCAAGAGAATACACTGGTCATAGCAAACACCCTCTTCCAACAACACAAGAGAAGACTCTACACATGGACATCACCAGGTGGTCAATACCAAAATCAGATTGATTACATTCTTTGTAGCCAAAGATAGAGAGGCTCTATACAGTCAGCAAAAACAAGACCAGGAGCTGCCTGTAGCTCAGATCATGAAATCCTTATTGCAAAATTCATACTTAAATTGAAGAAAGTAGGGAAAACCACTAGACCATTCAGGTATGACCTAAATCAAATCCCTTACAATTATTCAGTGGAAGTGAGAAATAGATTCAAGGGATTAGATCTGATAGACAGAGTGCCTGAAGAACCATGGACAGAGGTTCATACAGGAGGCAATGATCAAAACCATCCCCAAGAAAAAAAGAAATGCAAAAAGGCAAAATGGTTATCTGAGGAGGGCTTACAAAATATCTGTGAAGAGAAGTGAAAGGCAAAGGGGAAAAAGAAAGATATACCCGTTTGAATGCAGAGTTCCAAGAATAGCAAGGAGAGCTAAAAAAGCCTTCCTCAGTGATCAGTGCAGAATGGGAAAGGCCAGAGATCTCTTCAAGAATATTAGCGATACCAAGGGAACATTCCATCAAAAATGGGCATAATAAAGGACAGAAATGGTATGGACTTAACAGAAGCAGAAGATGTTAAGAAGAGGTAGCAAGAATACACAGAAGAACTATGCAAAAAAGATCTTCATGATCCAGATAATCACGATGGTGTGATCACAACCTAGAGCCAGACATCCTGGAATGTGAAGTCAAGTAGGCCTTAGGAAGCATCACTATGAACAAAGCTAGTGGAGGTGATGGAATTCCAGTTGAGCTATTTCAAATCCTCAAAGATGATGCTGTGAAAGTGCTGCACTCAATATGACAGAAAATCTGGAAAACTCAGCAGTGGCCACAGGACTGGAAAAGGTCAGTTTTCATTCCAATCAAAAAGAAAGGCAATGCCAAAGAATGTTCAAACTACTGTACAATTGCACTCATCTCACACGCCAGCAAAATAAATAATCCTCAAAATTCTCCAAGCCAGGCTTCAGCAGTACATGAACCGTGAACTTCCAGATGTTCAAGCTGGTTTTAGAAAAAGCAGAAGAACCAGAGATCAAATTGCCAACATCCACTGGATCATCAAAAAAACAAGAGATTTCCAGAAAAACATCTATTTCTGCTTTATTGACTATGCCAAAGCCTTTGACTGTGTGGATCACAACAAACTGTGGAAAATTCTTAAAGACATGGGAATACCAGACCACCTGACCTGCTTCCTGAGAAATTTTTACACAGGTCAAGAAGAAACAGTGAGAACTGGACATGGAACAACAGACTGGTTCCAAATCGGGAAAGGAGTACATCAAGGCTGTATATTGTCAAGGCACTTATTTAACTTATATGCAGAGTATATGATGAGAAACGCTGGACTGGATGAAGCACAAGCTGGAATCAAGATTGCTGGGAGAAATATCAATAACCTCAGATATGCAGATGACACCACACTTATGGCAGAAAGTGAAGAACTAAAGAGCCTCTTGATGAAAGAGGAGAGTGATAAAGTTGGCTTAAAGCTCAACATTAAAAAACTAAGACCATGCCATCCAGTACCATCACTTCATGGCAAATAGATGGGGAAACAGTGGAAACAGTGGCTGACTTTATTTTTCTGGGCTCCAAATGACTGCAGATGGTGACTGCAGCCATGAAATTAAAAGATGCTTACTACTTGAAAGAAAAATTATGCCCAACCTAAATAGCATATTAAAAGGCAGAGATATTACTTTGCCAACAAAGGTCTGTCTAGTCAGTTATGGTTTTTCCAGTAGTCATGTATGGATGTGAGAATTGGACTATAAAGAAAGCTGAGTGCTGAAGAAATGATGCTTTTGAACTTGGTGCTGGAGAAGACTCTTGAGAGTCCCTTGGACTTCAAGGAGATACAAGCAGTCCAATCTAAAGGAAATCAGTCCTGAATATTCATTTGAAGGACTGATGGCTGAAGCTGAAATTTCAGTACTTTGGCTACCTGATGTGAAGAACTGACTCGTTTTGAAAAGACCCTGATGCTGGGAAAGATTGAAGGCAAGAGGAGAAGCGGACGACAGAGGATGAGATGGTTGGATGGCATCACTGACTCAATGGACATGAGTTTGAGCAAACCCAGGGAGATGGGGAAGGACAGGGAGGTCTGGCTCGCTGCAGTCCATGGGGCTGCAAAGAGTTGGACACGACTGATAAACTGAAGTGAACACTTGAAATTAATATTGTAAATCAATTACATATCAACTTAAAAAAAAACTCCTGACTTGTAGACCTATATATGTGGTTACTTAATAACTTTAACTGGATTCCTCAAAGACACTTCAAAGTCGAGATAGCTACGTGTGAATTCAGTCTCCACACTCCCCAGTCCAACCTCTTCTCGTGTTTCCTATCGCAAGAGCACTCTCTCCCTTCCTCTTTTAAGCTGCCCAAATCATACATATGTGATTCCTGACTTCATCCCTTCCCACGCTCTCCATTTCCAATCCATCTCAAGCCCACTTGATCCCACCTACAAGATCCTCCTGCTCTCCCCACTGCTGTCGTCTCGCCACAACCTCTCTGAGCGGTCACATCTCACTGCAGCCATGTCCTCTCCTAGCCTCTGTCTGGTTATCTTTCATGTGTTTCGAAACAAAGGCACTGATTATGATGATGTGACAATGCTCAGAACACTCTGTCTTGCTTTACTAGATTCCTAACACAATCTATAAGCTATTTTGTGGTCCAAGGACTGGCCTTCCTTTCCAATTTCAAGTCATACCACATCTCCCCTAAATGTAGTTCCTACATTCCATCCTTTTTGCAGCTTAAAACTCATCACAAATTCCTCCAACCAAAGGACCTTTTACCAGAGTGCAATCCCCCTCTTTTTACTCAGCCCTGTCTTTGCTCAGCTAACTTCTACAAGCCATCAAGTTTTAGCTCAGTTGTCCTCTCCTCATGGACACCTGTGCTGACAGCCAATCCTGGGCCATACTCTTTTGTTACATGCTCCAGAGAACCATGTGCCTTCTCCTGTTTGAGTCTGAAATAATACATTTTTAATTAATTTCTATCTTTTCTGCTGGAGTAATGTTTAAGATCACAGGGAACACAGGAACTGTCTCTGCACAGTGGGTGGCACAGTATCTGGCACATAATGTATGTTTAATAAATCTCTGTTGAATGAATGAAATGATCATCCTAGTCCTGATGTTAGCAGCGCTAATGTAGTTCAAGTTTGCAAACAGAAAGGCAAAACAGAATATATCTAATAAATATGGTCTTCATTCTTTTCTTCAGACCTCTCCTTTGACCATTCTGCATATTCATTCACCAACAACTAATCACCAATGAGGTCAATGTGGAGTGCTCCATTAGTTGTTTATAGATTTTTCAGAACAGATGACTAGTGATTTGAAAATAGCCAGGTTTAAAAAGTATTTTCAAAAATGAACAGGAGAAAATTTGCTTCATTTCAGAGAAGAGAATTTCTTCTTTATGTGATTTTATTTATAAAAATATTTACTTTTTAACTTATTTGGTTATATCGGATCTCCCTTGTGGCGCACAGACTCTAGTTGTGGTCTGCGGGATTAGTAGTGTGGCACAGGCTTAGATGCCCCAAATCATGTGGGATCTGAGGTCCTTGACCAGGGATCGAACCCACACTACCTACACTGCAAGGAAGGTTCATAACCACTGGACCACCAGGGATGTCCCTCCTTTATGTTCTTTTAAAAGAGATAAGGACTTTCTTTGTTGTTGCTGTTTAGTCCCTAAATCGTGTCCGATCCTTTGCAACCCCATGAACTGCAGCAAGCCAGACCTCCCTGTCCTTCACCATCTCCCTGAGTTTGCTCAAACTCATATCCATTGAGTCAGTGATGCCATCCAACTATCTCATCCTCTGTCGTCCCCTTCTCCTGTTTCCTTAGGGGATGCAGATTTGGGAGCTGGACAGGCCAGCGTCACTCCTGCATACACACAGATGCCATCCTTCCTCTACTAGTTTTAACGTGCAATTGGAAAGTAAAAACATCAGGTTCTCTTTATTTATAACAGGTAAAAACTGCAGTATGGTCATCTAACATACAATAAAAAAACAAGTGCAATTACATCCTTAACAAAAGGCCAGCCAGCATGTTTTCTTCCATAGCACAGAATTTCTGGTTTGTCTCTGTGGTTGGTCCTCATTATCTGGTACATTTTCCCCCCAGGAATTTCCTTCTCAACGGGAAGATGGTCTTCAGGGCAAAAAAAAAGTTTATCAGGCTCTAGTTCCAGTAGTATATATTTTATTCACTTATAGATCCACAACCACCCCACCCCACGCTATCTTGCTCCAGCCTTCCCTGAATTCCTATTGACATCAGTCATTTATTACAGCTCTCCCCCAACATTTATTATAACCCCCAAGTTGTATTTACAGTTAAGAAGAATCTGTAAATAGCACAAATCGACTCAGCTGTTAGTGCACAGAAGTCACATGATCCTCTGAAATACTGAAGTACTTTTCTCCAGCTTTTGGGAAACAATTATACATTCATTTAAAACACAGAGAACATTCCTTAGACAAACATGACTCCTGAAGCTCATCTGGCAAGACAAATTGCTTTGTATTTCTTAGCACAATAAAATGTATCTTTGGAAATTGAGAAGAACCAAAAGTATTTAAAACAATAACAGAACACCACACATAAAAATCACACAACAGATTGACTGATACATTGAAATTCTGTCAAAATCGATTTTCAGTGAGGCTTTTCATTTCAAATAGGCCAGGGGAAAAAAATGGTCCTAAAAGGTGCATTTTTATACATGTGACGTTTCATCCTCCAGAGAGCTGTTTCTCTCACTTGAAGTTTCTAAACAACATTTAGAAAAAGAATTATTATAAGAGGGATTTTCTGGCTCAGTCAATTTATTGTGAGAGGTTATCAACAACTGCTTTGGGTGCTCAAATGTCAAGAGTGGGAAGCCAGTAATAGATTTGGCAGTTCAATATGTGACACTATTATACTCTTAAGTAAAATCATGGATTTCCCCTAGAACTTATTTAATTATCCCTTTAAAAAAATTCATGGAACTTGTTAAATATTGACTATTTCTCTACTTCTCTTTCAAATCTTTCCTCATATCTTCACCAAGTTTCTGCTTAATCTCTGATCGTATCTACCTTGACTTGCTTAGCCCACTTAGAAAGGTTGGCACAATTCACTTCAGACCCTTCAGTGTCAAAGAAAGTTCCACAGACACCTCACATGTGGGTGTGGGGGAGTGATGCCTGGGAGGGAGTCTTAAGCAATTATCGACATGAGTTGCTCAAAGAAGCCAGGAGAACAGTCACCAGGATAAGAAGAAACCTGCTCCCTTTCTCCTGTAGTCTTTTCTTTGAGTCATTTAAACATGGAGCTCTTTTATTTTTGAACTTCATTAGTTTCTAGAGCTCCCTGAGAGCTCATCAAGAGAACAGCCATAGAAACTGCAGTTTTTTTTGTAACATTGACTGCTTACGTCCACTTTCTACTAGAGGAATAATACTTTCAGAACTGGTTTTGCCTTATGGTCTCCTTTAACTGCACTGTGCTTTCCAGCAATCATATGTCATTTCCCTAAATGAAAAAAGCAAGACGTTATACTGAAACAACTAAAATAGAAATGCTAGCTTTAAATTCTGACTTGAACACTTTGGCTTCAATTATAATAGAACTCATATTGGGGACCACCTATGAGCAAGTAGAGGAATCTTATGTGTCCTTCCTTAAAAGCCATTACACATTTGTGGTACAGTGATCTGAATTCCTTTGTCACCTTTATAAAACTGTAATTTCAGGTACTTCATTTGATATAACCAAACCATCCTATATACTTCATAGGACAGCCTTGGAAAAGCAGCATGAGCCATGCTTTAGAGGATAAAGTTTTTCTTAAAAGGTACTCTAAAAGAGAAAGTTATATTTATTTTACTTTTTAATTAATTTTATTATTATTATTTTTTGGTCATGCCACACAGCTTGCGGGATCTCAGCTCCCTGACCAGGGATTGAGCCTGCACCCTTGGCAGTGAAAGTATGGAGTCTCAACCACTGGACCACCAGAAAATTCTCAAGTAAGTCATATTTATTAATAAAATTTCCTTTGCATGACTTTCTGTACACGATCATTTAATGAATGTTGCAACATAATTTTCATTTCTTCTTTGAAAGTAACTTGCCCACCTAATACTTCTTCTGTTGTCTTCAGGCAACTTTTTCTCTACAAAAACCTCATTAAGGACGTTGCACCAGTTTACTCTTACTTCCTTCTTGTTCACTGAGTTTAAAATGGGTATAGGCAAGAATGCCAAACAATGTACATAACATGCCAAGACCCTGATTAACTGACAGTGGATCCTTGAATAAAACATATCCTCCAAATAAAGTAATGCAGAACTTGAAGTGTCCAAACATGTTATAGCTGAGGTTTTCAGATAAGGATAAAAAAGAATAACAAGCCAGATGTTTTATATTCTTGCTCCTCACACACACACACACACACACACACAGACACACGAAGCAAAGGCTTCCTATGGCGGGAGAGAAGTACATGAAACATAAGACTGAAGAGCAGCTCCCAAGTCTAAAGAACAGGAGCTTCAGTGAAGTCCTGGGCAAATCCTAGTTTCTGCGGGTAGCTTTTAGTAATTAATCAGAGACAGGAGACTCCCTCAACTCTCCCTGCCGACCTCCCCAAAGAAGAGAGAAAGGGGCTGCGATGCGGGAAAGGGATTCAGAACAAGGTACAGAGAAGCTCTTTTGTGCAGCGATTTGTGATGCTGTTTTATGGAGCCATTTCTAAACTTCCCTTGGCAAATGAGGTGAACCATGTAAGGCACCAGAGGGCTGACTTAAGGTCAACACAGCCAGTGTGCTTAAGTCTGGGAGCGAATCAGGGACAGGGGAGGGCTAGCTCTGAGCACCAGGGACATGCCAGGCACTCCCCAGGTGCATAGCTAATACTGTTTTCTAATATTTAAGCATCATATTTCCCTTCACTGCAATAGCATTCTTCTCATTTACAGCAGTGGAGGCTTGAGAATTTCAAGTAACTTAGATCACAGAATCAGTAAGTGGCAGAGCCAGAGGTCAAACATAGATGGGTCTATTTAACACTAAAGTCCATGTCCGAGTTGAATTTACTGCCCGTAACTTGCTGCTGGGTGAAGGCATTTCCAAATCACTGTTCACTTAAAAGGCTAACTAAAGACACAACTGGTACCTTTACAAACTATTCTTCCTGAATTTTCAATAGTTTTTTCTGTATGAATTAGTACTTTATTATATTTCAGATGTCTGATACGTACCCATGGACTCTTCCTGACAACAATACTAGAAAGAGCTACCACCCTGCCCCGGCGTCACAGCGAGGATTAACTAAGCGAGCATACACGAGGCTTCGAGCTGCCGGCAAGGTCCTATATGTGAACTATTCACAGCAGTGCTGCGCTGCGCTTAGTCGCTCCGCTGTGTCTCACTCTTTGTGACCCTACGGGCTGTAGCCTGCCAGGCTCCTCTGTCCCTGGGGATTCTCCAGGCAAAAATGGGTTGCCATGCCCTCCTCCAAAGGATCTTCCAAACCCAGGGACTGAACCCTGGTCTCCCACATTGCGGGCAAATTCTTTACTGTCTGAGCTACCAGGGACGCCCAAGAATGCTGGAGTGGGTTAGCCTATCCCTTCTCCAGGGGAACTTCCCGATCCAGGAATTGAACCGGGGTCTCCTGCATTGCAGGTGGATTCTGTACCAGCTGAGCTACCAGAGAAGCCCATTAACAATGGTACTTACACCTAATAAACACTGGCCAGGTGCTGGACACATATTCTTTCAGACACTTACAGCAACCTAATCATGTAGGTACCATGACCCCCATTTCATAAATGATGAGAGTGGGACCAGAGATCTCCCACCACTCACTGAGGCAGTGGCAGAGCTGCACCTGCATGCCAGGACACGTCCCACCTCAGCATCCAGGTTCCTTCCTCTGTTCGGAGCCCAACTAAGCAACCAGGAAGTTCCTTCTGGTCAGGAGAGCACACGCCAGGTCATCGGGGTACCTGCCTGCCTCAACAGGGGTAATTTTCCTGTGGGACAGAGGACCTTCTCAAGGATGTTAATTATAACTGTAACAAAACAGGCTTCATTTTCAACTCTGACCTATCTTCAAGTGCACTGGCCCCCACATGTCAGCACTGCCTCACTCCTCAGCCTTTAAGTGGTCAAGGTCTGTTAAAGATATTTATATGAGAGGAAAGGCAAATTTAAAGAAATTCTCCAGTGAGTCCTTTTGTAAACTAGAAAAGAAGAAAACCAAGCAGGAGCAATCAACATTCACCATCTCCACCCCCTCTAATTCTCCACTTCCTTCCAGTCGGCTTCCACACGGGCACTCTGAAGTTCTTGCCAAAATCATCGGCGCCTGCACCTCACAAGCCCCTTCCTCAGTTACCTGAACGTGAGCTGGCAGCAGCCCTGGACACAGCTCACTCCCCTCCTCCTCTCTGGGCTTCTACACCCTCTCCTCCTTCCTTCCACCTCGACTGCCCCTTCCGCCTGGCTCCTGTCATCTCTGCAGTCTAAGCACTGAAGTGACCCAGGACTCGGTCTTTAGACACCTTTTTTTCCTCTATCTGTGTGCTTAGGAATGTCAGCCAGGTCACTGCTTCAAACCACATCTACACACCACCAACTCTCTCCAGAATACCTGCGGGCAAGACCTCGATCCTGAACTCTCAGACTTGTTTCACCCCAAACTGGGCACCTGGTCTTCCTCCCCGCCTCCACACCTCCTTCGGGCTGTGCTATTGCAGTCCCCGGCAACTGCACTCCACCAGGGGCTCAGGCTCAACACGGGGTGGGTCTACCTTCTTTCCTCTCATTCTCCACATCCATTCTGCCTGCAAAACCTGCTGGCTCTACTTGGAAATATACCCAGAGTCCAGTCACTTCTCACTGTGTCCACTGGGACTCTCCGGTACCAAACCAGCGTAGTTTCTACATTAGCGTACTGCAGCGGCAGCAGACGGCTCCCCTTCGTCTCCTGCCCGTTTCAGAGCAGCAGTTCTCACCTGGGAGCGATTCTGGTGTCTGGGCAAGGACACGTGTTTGGCTTTCATAATTGGGGAAAAGGCTGCTATAGGCATCTGGTGAGTGGAGGCCAGAAATGCTGCTGAAGATCCTCCAATGGACAGGACAGGCCTCTGCAACAAAGAACTGTCTGGATCAAAAGGTGAGTAGCACTGAGGTTGAAAATCTTTGCCTTGCCTGTTCTCAACACAACAGCCCAGGGGGATCCTACCAAAAGAGACATAAAATCATGTCATGTCCCTGCTCAATGGTGTCACATCTCATGTAAAAGCTCTGCTCAGTTTGACCCCCTGTTACTCTGAGTCCTCCTAAAGCCACCCTGTGTTCCCCTGCTCCAGCCACACAGTCTCTCGCCTGCTGTTCCCTGCCTGGCCATGCTATCCGCCCCACTCTGTGTGGGGCAGCCTCACTTCCTTCAGGTCTTTATTCAAAAGTATCCGTTTTGCGAGGCCCTCCTGACTACCTTCCGTAAAACTTCACCCAATATTTCACAACCCCTTCGCTGCTTCATCTTTTTCTCCTTATCACTTAACACTATCTAACACTGCATATGCACATTTTTCTTCTTTATAGCCTTTCTCCCCAGAACTTAAGCCTGTGAGAGCAGAGATTTTCGTCTCTTCGGTTCACCACTGTATCTTCAATGCCTGACATACAGGCAATGATACTCAGTATGTGAATATTTACTAAGTCAAGGAATGGTTTACAGTGGGCATTTAGTTAATATTTGCTGAATGAATGAATGGATGTTCTTAGTTAGGGCACACACTTGGATGCCTTGATCTGGCAGCACAAGTCCTGGCTAGACCACCCAGGTTCAAACCTGGACATCACACTTCTTGGCCGGGTGACTCCAAATGAGTTATTCAACCCTTCTGCACCTCCACTTCCTCTTCGGCAGGATAGAGACAGAATTTACTTCATTGAGCTGCTATAAAAACTAAATGTTAATACACAGAAGGTGTTTCAAACAGTGCTGGGCACAGAAGAAACATTTAGTAAGTGTTGTTTTTGTCTCCTCTGAATTATTACTATTAGAACTGCTGTTGTTTATTGTTAGCTGTCAAATGCTGCTTCTATATTTGTGGACAGCTCAGCGTTCACTCATTACGAGCGAAATGCTAAAAGGGGGCAGCTGCGTTTGATTAAGATCTTCAAGTCATGACTTCACTTCTTGATGTGAAGTAATACTGAGAAAAGCAGGCACACCCAGCCAGACAAGTACAAAAATAAACTCACAAGTCAGAGTGACTGGTCTGAAATTATTGTTTACTTAGATTAACCACTCCTTTGTATTATTATCAAACTATCAATAACTGAAAGGTGATGGGAAACCTAAGTATTTACCTTACTATTCACTCAACAAATGTTTATATGCAAGGAATGGTGCTCTGCATTAATTCTGATAAGGGAAAAGCTCACCTATTCCTTAAGAAAATTCAAAACCATTTACAATACAGAAAGCTAACCCACCTCCCCAGTTCACAGTTTGTTAAATCTCCATAAAGACTAAAAATAACCCACTCTACTCAATTTAGGCCATGCAACAGTAAGTGTGAGACTCAAATAAAGAAATCAATATGACAGAGTTTTGGAGAATATAAAAGACTATGCATTTGTGAACTGTTAAGAAAAGGATACGTGACTGGTGAAGTGTTCCCAATGATCCAATAAATCGACAAGTTCACCATGAAAGCTATTACTCCAGAGAGCAGGACCATCAGCTGCAAATAAACCAAAAGAATCATTAATGAAAAGCAGCTGCAATAATTACAATCATCAAGTGAAAATATACTTTATCAAGCACTTCTATCAACCATTAAAAACAAGACTTTTTTTTTGGCCGCACCACAGTGCCTTGTGGGATCCTAGTTCCCCGACCAGGGTACCAAAACTGGGACCCCCTGCAGTGGAAGCCTCGAGTCCAAACCACTGGACTGCCAGGGAATTTCCCAAAATAAGATTTTTAAAAAGAGATAATCAAGTTCGGAGAAAGCAAGAACTGAGGGTAAAAAGCAGAATGAGCAGTATTTGAAACTGCAATTTTGTCTACAAAATGCAATGGAAAATTCCTTCAACAATATGCTGACTCTGAATGTAAATTTCCAGGTTAGTTTTCCTTATCTATCCAGTGAAAAATTATTTTCTAATAGTTTCTTATTATAAAAGTAATATATATTCATTATGGAAAAATTAGAAAATAAAGATGAGCAAAAAGAACATAAGGCATTTTTTTCCTTCTACTTATACTGAGATGTAATTGACACAGCCCTGCGTAAGTTTCAGACATACAGCATCATGATTTGACCTACACACATTACAAAACAGGATTCCCCTGTAGCTCAGTCGGTAAAGAATCTGCCTGCCATGCAGAAGACCCATGTTCGATTCCTGGGTGGGAAAGATACCCTGGAGAAGAAAATGGCAACCCACTCCAGTATTCTTGCCTGGAGAATCCATGGACAGAGGAGCCTGGCAGGCTACAGTCCATGGGGTCGCAAATGTCGGACACGACTGAGCGACTAAACCATAAACAAGCCATTATGGAATGGTTACCACAGCAAGAATAGAGAACATCTACCATCCACACATATACATAATTAAACATATAGAAAAAAGTACTTTTCCCTGTGAAGAGAACTCATAAGGAATTCTTATAATCCCAACCACTCACCACAGTTAATACATTGGCATATATCCTTTTACACCTTTTTTCCTTTGAATTGCTCATTTTATTCTGATTTAAATTGAATCAGTAGGCATTCATTCGCTATCCACAAAACTAGGCCAGGCCTTATAAGGAACACAATGGGTTCTTGCCCTCAAAGATTTCAGAAACCACTCAAGGACATCAGACAAATCTTTATAATATAATCACAGCTTATACTTACATAGAGCTGACTAAGCAACAAGAATCATCCTAAATATATTACATGTATTAATTCACTTAATTGTTGCAAACAGCCATGAGAGAATAAAATACTTTCCCTTTTTACAGCCAAGAAAACAGAGCACAAAGAGGTCAAGTAACCTGCCTAAGACACAGAGTCGGGAAGCGGAAGGGAGGGGACCTACACTCAGGGCAGCCCGCTTCTGCAGTCTCTGCTCCTAACTGGCTCTGCTGTGCTCCTCTTAACCAAAGGACGCTTCCCCAGCGGCTCAGCGGTGAAGAATCTGCCTGCGGCGCAGGAGGCTTGCGCGAGATGCGGGTTCGATCCCTGCATCGGGAAGAGTCCCCGGAGAAGGAAATGACAACACGTTCCAGTATGCTTGCCTGAAAATTCCCATGGACAGTCCACGGTGTCAGAAAGAGTCAGACTCAACTGAGTGACTAAACAACAGTACAACACAAAATGCTCAGCTCAGGCAAGAAAAGAAAAGTAGTCTTGAGCTCTAACCCCATCAGTAGGCAAACAGACAATAGGTTCTACAGGCTTCTCTAGACAGGAGAGGTCCTTTTGGGCTGGAATAGCAAGAAAAGTCTTTGGATTAGAAAAAGAAATAACAGGGGCAGGAAACAGTATGGGTCAAAGCAGAGGAATAAAAGTCGAGGTGTGTGCATGGGACATGAGTAAGCCTACTTGGCTGAGGATGGGAGACAATGTGGCTCTCCCACTGTAGACACGCATGACATTCTGTCCACACATATCCCACGATTTCATTTTAAAAGTTAGAAAACAAGTCAGACAAAGAGAAAGATCATATGATATCGCTTATATGCGGAATCTTAAAAAAAAAAAAAGATACCAATGAACTTTTGTATAAAACAGAAACAGGCTCACAGACTTAGAGAACAAACTCATGGTTACCAGGGGTGAAGGGTGGGGAGGAGGGATAGCTAGGGAGTTTGGGATGGACATGTACCCACTGCCATATTAAAGATGGATAACCAGCAAGGATTTACTGTAGAGAATTCTGCTCAATATTCCATAACAACTAATTGGGAAAAGAATTTGAAAAACAACAGATACATGTATAACTGAATCACTCTGTTACATACCTGAAAATAACATAACACTGTTAATCAACTATACTCCAATATAAAATAAAAAGTTTAAAAAAAAGGTTATAAAACCATTATCTACTGCTGAAATAGAATTTAGAGAAAATATTAGTTATAATTTGAATTACTAAGGAGTTTAAATTCCAAAGAAAACATGTCATATTTGAAGACTCTGTCCCCTATGGGTTTTCTCAGTTTTTAAATCAGTGCAGTTCTAACTGGATCAGGGGAGTTGGATTTGCAGTCTTTTAATTAGAAACAGTAATATCTTATTTTTTTTTTTAAACAACAGTGAGGCCCATTAAATTTTTAACTAAGAGAAATTTGCCCCTTAAAATTTTAAAAATTGTTTCTAGGAACGTATCACTGCTAATTTTACAGAGTTTACAGTATGTCACAAGCCTATTTCTTGATGACCTTCACATCATTAGACACAGTTACCCTCTCCTTTGAGACAATGATGCCCTCTAGAGACAAGAAGAGAGGAAGGTGATTCTCCCTTACCCAGCAGCCTCAGACGGCTGTGCTCTTGTTCCTTTGACCTTTATTTTTGGTCTTTCTGCTGAGGTCCTCATTTTTAAATGTCAGAGGACCAGGCACATAAAGCCTCTCCCCTCCTAGTCTAAGGTGCCCAAACTGCAGTGGTTTGATAAATTAACACCACCAACAAAACAGACTTGCCCATGGCCTGCGTTTAACATACAGGAAGCAAAAGTTCCTGAGTAGGGGGACTATACTTTCTAACTTTATTAAAACAACGCGCCCAAAGTACAGACCCCTTTGATCTGGCAATCCCATTCTAAGACTATTCCACAGAATGAAAAGTACCAGTTGGTAAGGCCACATGTACAAGGCTGTTTACTGCAATACTGCTCATGGTAGTTAAGAACTAGAACTATTTTACAGGCATCAAAAGAATGATGTGAAGATATTTTTATGAGACATTGTTAAGTGAGAAAAGCAAGATACAGAAAATCCTAAGTCCCTGCTAACACAGCAGGGGCCCCAGTAAGGACTTGTTTGAATTTCTAAAAAAAAAAAAGAAAATCTGTGGAATATGATCCCACTTCTGTAAAAGAAACAAGTGTATAATTCAAGTATACATGCATGTATGCATGCTTGTGCATGTAGTATGTGTTTATATGAGGGCATGTACAGCACAGAGAAAAATAAGCAAGAACAAACACTAGAATGTTAACATGACTGACTTCAAGGAGAAGGGGTTGGGTAATGGGATGATGAAGTGTGTATGGGTAGCGGGGCTGGGGAAAAGGAATCCAGGATAAAAACAGCATAAGTAATATGGTTACATATAAATGAAATTAAACATATACACACATGCATGTATCTGTGGATACAAAAGGATCCATGAAATGGTCATTACCAAAGCGGTAAAGGTGATTATCCTAGTGTGGCAGGATTCAAGGGGACTTTCACTTTATAATTTTATGTATGTTCAAAAATATTTACTATATATATATAGTATGAACTACTTACATTATTACAATAAAATAAACAAAGCTATATTTTCATTATAAAAAAATAAATGCCCCAAATATTTGTGGGCTATAGCCCGGCATCACTGTGGAAGGTGACTGCAGCCATAGTGGAAAAGCCAATATGGTTTTTCCAGTAGTCATGTATGGATGTGAGAGTTGGACCATAAAGAAAGCTGAGCGCCGAAGAACTGGTGATTTCAAACTGTGGTGCTGGAGAAGACTCTTGAGAGTCCCTTGGCCAACAAGATCAAACCAGTCCATCCTAAAGGACATCGACCCTGAATATTCATTGGAAGTACTGATGCTGAAGCTGAAGCTTCAATAGATTGGCCACCTGATGATGCAAAGGGCTGATGTGACGCTGGGAAAGACTGAAGGCAGGAGGAGAAGGGGGCGACAGAGGATGAGATGGTTGGATGGCATCACTGACTCAATGGACATGCGTTTGAGCAAGCTCCGGGAGATAGTGAAGGCCAGGGTAGCCTGCGTGCTGCAGTCCGTGGGGTCGCAGAGTCAGATACGCCTGAGCTACTGGACAACAAAGAGGCATGCTTAGCACAGTAGCCAGGCATCAGAAGACCTGAATTCTAGCCCTGGTTTTGCCACTGACTAGCTGTTGCACCCTAAGCTAGTCCCTTCATCTTTCTCTGCCTCGGTTTCTTCATTTAAAGAATAATCTTTGGGGTTCCCTGGTGGCTAAGTGGTAAAGAATCCGCTTGCCAATGCACAAGACACAGGTTCAATCCTTGGTCCGGAAAGATCCCACATGCCTCGGAGCAACTAAGCCCAGCACAACTACTGAGCCTGTGTTCTCGAGACCGAGAGCCCCAGCTACTGAGCCGACATCCACAACTGCCGAAGCCGCACGGCCCAGAGCCCACCTCCACAAGAGAAGCCCGAGCACCGCAACTAGAGGTGAGCCCCGTCTGCAGCAACTAGAGAAAAGCCTGCGCAGCAACAAAGGCCCTGAACAGCCCCAAAATAACTGAATAACTAAATAATAAAATTAAATTACAAAAAAAGAATAATCTTCTACCTTGCCTCCCTTAACATGTGATTATAAAGTTTAAATGTGAGGATGGGTCTGAGCTAGCACTCTGAAAACTAAAAATTGCATCAATAATTATTACTGCCTTATTTCTTAGACACCCACCCAAACAATTAGAACTTACCAAAGCAGAGACTGACCAGGGACCGAATATTCCTCCTTCTGCGAACACTGGCTCAAAGAAGGGCACAGCGACCAGCAACATGGCAGATGACATCGGGGCCTGGTAGTATAGCAGCTGCATCGAGTTTACTTGCAATTCATGCTGTTTGGCTCCCACCCACTGAAAATAAGAAGAGAGAACAAGCTAGGCAAAAAAAATAGAGGCACTCAACAAAGCAAAGATGCAAGTTTGGCCACAAACGTGGGAATGCGGGCAGGGCTGAGGGGAGGGGAAACACCTAAGATTTCAAAGATCAATAATATATATGTATATCCTGAAAGCTCCTTGGATAAAAGGAGTTTTCTATATTCCATGTCTGATAATTGATTTTCTTCTTACTATGAAAGGAGGAAAAAAAATCCTCTCTTCCCTCCAGATCCTAGTAAATATGGAAAATCAATGCATAGGTATCAGAGATCTTGGGAAAATTAGGCAGGAATGGATATTTATAAGCAGGAATAAGCATGCTAATCTTCATAAGCAGGATAAGCAGGAATACAGATGCACTGTCAGACTTCCAATTTCTTTCTAAAAATGGCCCCCAAAATGAAGACTGGGAGGCAGGGTGGACTCTTAAATGGAGACTAACAGAAACCTCATTTATCCCAGGTGGCCACCAACGTGTGTGGTCAGAAAGGTATGTGAGGGCTTTTCATTAACTTCAGAAAACTCAATCAGTGGCAGAGTAGAAGGAACTTCCCTCTCTATGGCTGACTTTTCTGTGAATAATCCCCCCCAATAAACTATAGATAATCACAACCCCTACAAAGGCTATCCTTAGAACAGACACTCCACAGCCTCAAACCCTTTCAGTTCTCAAAATGCTTCACAAATATAACTGAAAAAGAGGTTTTAAAGCAAGTTTGATAGGACTGTCTGAATATAAGACCTGGCAAAAACAGCCCGGCTTTTTTGAATAACTGCTCCTACATAATTCTTTTTCCTGTAGGTCTGGGTATCCTGTTACACAAATGCTAAGTCTATAGAAATTCACCAAGACAAAAATAGAAGAGCGGGAAATGTGAAGCACACTCCTGCCAGCCTTAATAAGAGTCTGTTGTGAACATGAAGGACAAAGAGTTGATTCTTTTGCTTGGGACACCACAGTGAGCGAAAATGAATGCAGACGGTGTACGTACAGCCCTGCGTGGCCTTAGCAGCCGCGATGGGCAGCTGCGCGCCTGACACGAGAGAGCAGGCCTGGAAGGGTGGGGACTCTCAGGCCTCCACCTGCCCTTACTGCAGCGCAGCCTGGCTTCTGCGGTCCCCCTCCCATGAAGCTGCTCCCGGACAGGGCACCGTCAGCTCCAGCGGCCACGCAGACGGACTGCCCTCGGCCCCCTTCCAGCTGCAGCCCTCCGCAGAGCCTGCAACTGCTCTCGAAGAACCCGCCTCTGGTTTGTGCGGCTTTCTCACTCACCTCTTCCTTCTGTCCGGCTTTCCTTTTACCTCCCCACCTTATCTTTTCCCCTCCGCTGACACCTAGAGCTCTGACCTTCTTCCCTGAGCATCCTTTAGGTCACTCCTTTAACAGCTTATTGACCATTTCACTTAGATCATCTGCAGGAGCTTATTTAAGATTAAGCTGATCGCTTTTTTCCCCAAAAGAGCTCCTCCTGTGTTGCTCCAATAATTCATGATATAATCCCCTCCAAGGATCAGACTCATTTTCAGTAGGCTCTGCACTCTCACATTCAGTTGCGTCTTACTAATTCTTTCTCCAAAAGGTGTCTGGAGTTTGTTTTTTCCTTTCCATGTTCAGGACCACCGTCCTGTTCACGTCCTTCCAGTCTTCCCCTTAAACCATGGAGCACCTCCTGACTGCTCTGCCTGTCAACCTGTCTTCCCTCTTATTCATCCTTCACTGCCCCCAGAAGCTTCTAGAGCACAGAGAATGATCAAGTCACTGCCCTCTCTGAACTCCTGTCCTGGTGCCTGCAAGATAAAGGGCACACTTCCTCCGCATGATACTCAAGACTCGGCCATCTGGTCTCACCCACCTCTCAGCCTTGTCTTTCCACCATGCAACTACAGTCCAGTCTCACCAAAAGAACCAACTTCTCCAAAAATGCTCTGTATTTTCACACATCATTGCAAAGAAAGACCTCTGCTATATTTCTCTGATAAGCAAATTCCTATGCGTTCTTCAATTTGAACTTTGCCAGAGAGCCTTACCCGACCACCACCTTCTTGCAGAACAGTCTCTCTTTCCATGGTGTTCCTCAGAACTTTCCTCATACCCTGAGCTATACTACCTGTGATCAGCTTTCTCCATGCATTTCTTTGATACTGGATTATAGCTGCTTTTCATCTCTGTATCAAGGTTGAATATAAAGCAGGAATGTCTGCTGAAAAGACTCAATCGTCTTTCTACAACTAAATCTAACACAGCTCTTAATTCATCTTAACTCATTCAGCTCTTAACTCATCTCTTAATTCCTTTCAATGTCCTAGTAGTATGAGAAAAAATAACTTGGAAATTATACAAGGATACAATAGGAAAACACAATTTTCCTTAAAATGAATTTTTAGGGGGATATATCTATTCTGTAACCATACTTTTACCACTTAGCAATAATCAAAAACTTTGCCCATAACTTAGTCTAGTCTACAATCATTCCTTGGTCAACCTCATTTCATATATCTACTTGAGAAATACAGAATTCTTTGATTCCAATCTATAGCAATTTTGAAACCTGTCTGAACAAAAATGGTCATATTGGCATGGCCAGTGAGTACTGTGAGTACTCTGAATTGATGTTATACATAAAGGATACAAGAAATTCTAACATTCAACAAATAAAATTTCTTGCTCTAACAAATAATTAGTACTGAATCAAAAAAGTCCATTTAACAAAAAAAGATAAATAGTATCTAATTAAAAATTTAAACTCATTGACGTATGCCCAAATGCAGTTTTCTTAAAGCACAAACCTGAGCTTCCTCTGATTTCTCTCTGTAGTAAAAGAATATCTTGGGGCCAAGTGACAAGACTGAGTGGGTACTCCACCCTTTCATGTCACTGCTCTCTTATATTTAAACTGCTTCTCTGCCACTAAGAAATTTATTCAACCTCAGAATTTTCTCATAACAATGTTTCTGAACTAACCAGTACTAGAATATGCTAAGGCTGCATTATTAAATCCCTAACATTCATAATAAAAATGCCTTAGTTTACAACTAGTGGATGCTTGTGAACAAAGTAAAACTGATCACACATTTGGCTCTGATTCCCCATGCAGGCACACCCAGAATTTTCAGTCCAAGGTCTTCAGTATAGACAAAATACTGTTTCACTGTACCCTTCGCCATTCATTATTCTTTCCCCACTATATAAGAAACAAACAAAAAAAATACTTGTTGAGATTTTACAGTAATGAAGTAAATAAATCCATGAACAAGTTTTCAGTAAATGCCTCCCACAGGCAGGCATCAGGCTAGTGCAAGAAGTGAAATACCCATTGCTATAAAATACTGACAGAGACAAAGAATATACAAGCTGTAACAGCAGAATATCTTTTGAGGCAAAGATTTATAAATCTGAAATTTTCCTTTCCTGTTCAATTTTTTGGATTTGTACTTACTCCTTCATAGTAACATCATAATTAAAGAGTAAATGATAAATACCATAAAACCCATGAACACGATCCTCAAGTAAAAATGTCTTATTACTCATTTTATAAGGATTTCCCAAAAAACATTATACCATCACCCAAAACTCAGACTGTAAAGTGTGGGTATTATACACTTACGAACAAGTAGGGAGATACTTGGTGAACACTATACACCCACGTTTCTGTCTCCTTTCTTCTCTTCAACTTGAGTCAGACAATTTATGCAATTATGCTTTCTTCCCAACAGTCTATTGTTTCTATACTGTATTGCCTAAACCTTGAGGCACAGCTTCAAAATTTATGAAATCTGCTAAAAGGCACATAAAGAAAAAAAAAATTACCAACCACTTGATAAAGGGATGTAACTAAAACACCAAGAGCAGCAAACACCGTTCCAAGGAAATTAAACTTCACATCGTAATAAGAATTTAGGATTACACCTAAAGTTATAGGAATCTGTAAAGAAAAAGAGGTAAACGTTGTTCAGATTAAATTTATGAGACATAAAATTATTATTCCTTTCACAGTGTCTTGCAAAGTTAACCATAAAAATGTCACTAGGAAACAATGAACCTCTACAAATATTCTTCCATGTGAAAAAAAAAAAGAACTGTTAATCCTACTTCCTCAAAGTTGAATAAAATAATTCTATATTTTTGTTCACATTTAATTTTACCTAAAATTCTGAGTAAAACAATGAGTCGATGCATTGCACTTTGCATGAAAATACCACATGCGAGCACATCGGAGTAAATGGACTACAAAACTAGTGTCTAAACAACATATAAACGCAAGGGTATAACAAAAGCATTAAGATTTTAAGTTCTGTAAGTTACGAGGTACTAAAATTATTTTAGCCCATCTTTTTTTTATGTAAAGACTATGAAACCTCCGCAGTATGTCAACGCAAACATATCCTGAGAGACATTTAATGTTTATCATAAAGTCAGTTTGAGATTTTCCACTTAACCTGATACAGATTTGCATCCCTCAATACAGCTTTCTTTCTTACTCAGAAAGAAATCACAGCATAAGGATTTCCATCAAACAGTAGTTACCAGAACTCACACAGGTACACTCTACTGTGCTGAAAGCCCAACAGAGGGCCAAGATGGCTTTTTTTCACCTTTCCCAAATAAGCGTGAAGTTCACAAATGACTCAAGTGTGGATTTTAGGATCATGGGCAAGAGGATGGCGCAAGGTTACTTCCCTCATTCAAACTTCCCCGGGGGGAGAAAGATGGTCCAGGTGAGTTGTTAGAGGTGCACCTCACCCGGCTGAAGCTACTCACCAGCGTGAGCCGTATTTTGGTGGAGAAGGTTTTCTTGTAGCAGAGGCTCTGGATGACTATGATTACCGGCGTGGTCATGGCCTTGGCCAGCTGATAGGTGCCTATGGTGTTATTCTGCAAAGATAAGTTGGTGAAGACCACGAAGCCACAGAAGCTGAGGGCCAGGAGGAGGAGCTTGGAAGGCGGCAGACTTTTGGGGGCAAAGATGTCCAGCTTCTGGCAGACGTACAAGCCCAGCCAAGTGACCACGAAGTGCACCAGGGTCAGGCTCATGTTGGGGAAGCCGTAGTGGACATAGATCCATTTGTTAAGGAACACAATGCAGATGGACACCAGTAGGTTGAGTAGGAGCCCGGCGGCGATGCGCCCGTTGCCCCGTACTCGATCCGCCAGCGATGCCATGACTCTCGCGCAGCCGGGGGCCGTCAGCCTCGGAAAGGGGCTCCCGGCCTGTCTCCGGCTGCCCTCTGCCTTCGCCGCCGCCACGTTCTCGCAGCCGCCGGCTTCACGGTCCGGCTGCGGAGAGACATTCAACCTTCGGGTCCCAGCCGAGCAGCAACCTCAGTGAGGCACACATGTTCTGCCGCCGCCCATTCAGCCTGCGACTACGCGGCGGCACGTCCCGCGCGCCCCGCCCCTCCCATCAGTGGTCACGTGGCTCAGGGCACCCGCGCTTCCGCCCTCTAGCACTTAGCGGAGCAGCCTCACCTGCGCAGGCGCGTGGCGCTCCGGATGAGGCGCGCAGAATCCTCCTTGCCCTACCACCCGAGTTAGCTAAACCCGGCTGTACCAATCTGGGACCCCTTTATTGGACATTTCCTGTGTGTTGGTTGGATCGACTTGTTAGCTACTGTTAGTGCTGAGCAAATTTAGTCCTTATCAGACGGGGGAAAGCATTACTTCTTTTTTTTTTTTTTAGCATTACTTCTTGAAAGCATATTTTTAAACATTTTATTTATAAAATCGAAACATACAGAAGAGTAGACTGTAGGATGAACCTACGTATATACTCATCATAGTTACTATTCAGATATTTTTTTTGAAAAAAAGCTGGGCTTTTCATTGTCCTAGAAGTGTCCATTTTAGATGTTCTAATGTATTTCGTCAGAACTGTGCATAGTGTTTTACCATATTTTCAATTTATTTCATCTGTTGTTACATCACTTTATTTATTCTAAACATGCATTTTGGTTTTCTTTGTCCTTTGATTAGCCTTGTGGGTAACTATTTTACTGCCTTTTTCGAAAATTCTGATTTTGTTTCATTACTTTTTTCATTAATTCTCTCCTGATTTATTCAATAGAAAGTTTAATTCATTTATTTTTATTCAAAAATAGAAAGATGTAAAGCTGTGAGATTCCTCTTTTAGAATAGCTTTGCACAGTCTTCAGGACAATGTAATATTCACATTTTCCTTAATTCTTTAGTTTGACAGTTTTCATTTCCTCTTTGAATTCAGAATTATTCAAATATTGAGCACCTGTTTTGTGCAAGGCACTGTATTTGGTACTTGGGAGATACTGGCAAGTAAAGCCAGACAAAACCCCTTCTCATAGATGTCAGTGAGAGAAGACATACAATTATAAACTACGACAAATGAAAGTTCTGAAGAAGTAACAAAATATGATTCTATGAATGTGTACTAAGAGAACCTGATCTAACTTGGGGAGGAAGTCAAGAATTCCTTGGGTCAAGGAATTCCCTCAAGGAAATGATTCAAATTAAGATGAGAAGTTAATTAGGGAAAGTCTAAAGTCTGGCTTTCCTAACAGGGTCTTCGCGATAATGCTTTTCTTCCTGTCATGCCCCCAAACTCTACCAATTCTTACTAGAATTGTGTGCCTTTTCAATTGTATGTTTATACTGCCATCCTCTCTTCCAGTTTGGATCTGCAGAACCCTACCAGTGATTTACTAGCTGTTTACCCTCATTTGCTCCCCAGTTAAGAGCCTAGCCTTAGATAGCCTGTCTTCTTTTAGTCTACTCAATTCACTGTTTCCTTGTGATAACAGATTTAGACTGATAATCTTAACATGGTTGATAAATTTTTTTTATCACTCCTCTGTTTCTCTTAGAATATTTGAAGTTAAAACACGAACTCTGAAATTTGGGTTAAAATATAAAAATATCTAATGGATTCCAACTGCCTTGATTCAAGGCATCCATGAGCCTAACCTCAATTTCTGACATTCACCCAGTTGCCCATTATTTCAGAACTTTTGTACATCTCCAAGGCTGATGTAGTTGGTTAAGTGGCTTTCTCTACCTTCTTCACCAAAGCACAGGAGCCCTAATCCTTACTAGTCCTGAAACGTGATTATTATCCTTAGGCTCATTGACAGATGTTGGAATAGAGGTCATGAGTGTTATCTTGCAGCTAGAATAGATGAGGGTAAGATTCAAACCCAAATTTCTATGGCTTCCAGCCCATTTCCCCTCCTTTTCATTATGAAAAATTCCAAACATATGCAAAATTAAAATAGTACGGTGAACCTTCCTGTACCCATCTCCTGGCTTCACCAACTGCCATTTTTGTTTCTTGTATACCCACTCCCACATTTAATTTTTAAACAGCCAATTTACATTAATTCAAATGCGTAAATCTTATACAGTTTTTGACACTTGGATTCACTTTGTAATCCACACCCCTCTCAAGGTATAGAACATTTCCATCACCACACAAATTCCCTAGACAATCCCCACCCCACACCAAAGAAGAAATCAGTTCTAATTTTTCTTCACCTTAGATTAGTTTTGACTGTTTTAGAACTTCATGTAAATTATCATATAGTATTTACTATTTGTGGCTAGGTTTTGCTGAACAGATCAGTTCTTTCCTTTCCACGTTGCTGCATAGTACTTCTTTGTTTAGTCATTCTCCTATTGATAGGCATTTGGGTTTCCAATCTGAGGCTATTATAAATAATGCTGCTATGAATATTTTGTACAGGTCTTTTTGTGGAATTTCATTTCTCTCATGTAAATATGTAGGCATGAAATTTCTAGATTAAAGAATAAGTGATTATAATAGTTAAAATGTTCCCCCAAAGACTACCCATTTTACTGTGTCCAAGTCAGTTACTCCACATCTTCTCACACACTTGGTTGTTAAGTCTTGTTGATTTTAGCCATTCTGATGGATGTGTAGTGACATTTCATGGTTTTAATCTGTGTTCACCATTGATCTGAGCATTTTTCATGGGTACACTGGTTAGGTATTTGTCCTCCTTTAAGAATCATCTGTTCTAAAAAAAAAAAAATCATCATCTGTTCTAGTATTTACTTTTTTTTTTTTTTGTCTTTGTATTGAGTTGTAAGAGTTCCTTTTTATATGTTTTATTTTTTGGCCTCGCTGCAAGGTGTGTAAGATCTTAGTTCCCCCACCAGAGATCTAACCCAAGCCCCCTGAAATGGAAGCTCAGAGTCCTAACTACTGAGACTGACAGAAAATTGCCATAAGTTGCAAGTTCTTTATGTATGCTGGAAACAAGGTTTTTTTTTGGCCAGTTATTCTTTGGCAAATATTTCCTCCCACTCTGTGCCTTATTGTCTTAATGGTCTCTTTAAAGAGCATTGTTGTTGTTCAGCCACTAAGTCATGTGCAACTCTTTGTGACCCCATGGACTGCAGCATGCCAGGCCTCCCGGTCCTTCACTATCTCCCAGAATTTACTCTAACTCATGTCCATTGAGTCAATGGTGCCACCCAAATATCTCACCCTCTGTCGCCCCCTTCTCTTGCCCTCAATCTTTCCCAGCATCAAGACTTTTTTCCAGTGAGTCGGCTCTTTTCCTCAGGTGCCAAAGTACTGGGAGTTTCAGCTTCAGCATCAGTCCTTCCAGTGAATATTCAGGGCTGATGCCCTTTAGGATTGACTGGTTGGATCTCCTTGCTGTCCAGGGGACTCCCAAGAGTCTTCTCCAACACCACAGTTTACAGGCATCAGTTCTTCAGCAGTTTTCTTTATGGTCCAACTCTCACATCCGAACGTAACTACTGGAAAAACCTCAGCTTTGACTATATGGATCTTTGTTGGCAAAGTGATGTCTCTGCTTTTTAATACGCTGTCTAGGTTTGTCATAGTTTTTCTTCCAAGGAGCAAGCATCTTTTAATTTCATTGCTGCAGTCACCATCCGCAGTGGTTTTGGAGCCCAAGAAAATGAAATCTGTCACTGTTTCCACTTTTTCCTCATCTATTTGCCATGATGGGATCAGATGCCATGATCTTTGTTTTCTGAATGCTGAGTTTTGAGCCAGTTTTTCACTTTCCTCTTTCACGTTCATCAAGAGGCGCTTTAGTTCCTCTTCACTTTCTGCCATTAAAGTGGTGTCATCTGCATATCTGAGCATAAATTTTATGTTTTGATGAAGTCTAAGTAATCAATCTTTTTCCTTAATGTAACTGCTTCCTGTCTGTTGTATAGTAAATCTTTACCTACCCTCTAGGTTACAAAGATAGTCTCTATTTTTCTTAAAAGTTTTACAGTTTTAGTGTTTTTATTCAGGTTTATAATCTAATTTTTGTGTAGAGTTATCAACTAAGGGTCAAGGTTGACTATTTTCCATACAGATATTCAGTTGTTTTCCTCATAATTTACTAAACTCCACCCGAATTTTTTATTTGAAAAAATTTAAATCCTGTGCCCTTCCCATAGATTCACTGGTCCATAGATTCACTGGTTAACATTTTTTCATATTTGCTTCATCTATGTAGACTTTTATTTTAAAGCTAAACCATTTCAAAGTAAAGTACAGACTTCATGACCATTCATTTCTAAATATTTCAGTATGTTTCCTACCCAGAATACTCTCCTACCCAGCCACAATACCAGTATCACACCTAAGAAAATTAGCATTAATTCCACCGTACCAATTTACATACTCTGTCTCATGCTAGCATTTCAAAGGAATTGTGTTAAACCTGTATACCAACATGGAGAGAATTAAAATTTTTACTATGTTGAATCTCCAAATAATAAACATGGTATCTCTCCCCACTTATTTTGCTCCTTTGGTTTCATTAGCATTTTGTAGTTTTCTGAATAAAATCCTGTACACATTTTGTTAAGATTTACACTTTCACGTCGGCTCATACTGCTCTACCTCATTTTTTAAATGGATGCATATTAGGTATAAGAATTAAAGAGGTTTTGTTAGGTAAACAATTCATCTTTGGAACACTTGAACTAGCATAAATCAAAACTTGAGGCAGAGTCTGAAACCTCTACACCTCTTCCCAAGTGATGCCAGGCCAGTTTCATAGTCAACTACTGCCGGTTTGCCTTGGATACAGAAGGATCAATACCCATCTCTGATTTAAGCCAGAATGTCCTGAACTTAGATCACTTATGGCGTATTAAGATCACTTATGGTGTATTATATTTACGCCAAATACAAATTCTATGACTCCTATCCCAGGCTCTTGGGGCAGCATCTGTAAATACATATAAGAAACTCACCAGATGAGTCAGACGAACAACCAGCTTTGGGAGCTGCTATCTACATGTTGTTTCCTCTTAGAGCCACATTCTCCCTTTTGGTTATCTCCTATTTATGAGTCCTGCACGCTAGTCAATTTGGCACAAATGCTGATTCACAAACATGCACCCATCATTTGCAGGCCTTGCTCATACGGATTTCTTAAACTTGTAGTGCCTTCCCTTTCTTGATCTGTCTTTGCAAATTCAATGCATTACCCAGACTCCAGCTCAAATACTACTTCCTCAGAAATCTCTTAGCTGGAAATAGTTCCTTCCTACTCAGATTACTTGTATTTTTTAATGGCATTTAAAAGACATATTTATTGTATTTCCCGTACTAGAAGGGCTAGATAAGATCTTACTCATTTTATAGTCCCCAATGTATTCAGTGTTTGCCGTGTGCCAGATACGACACTAAGTCTTTACATGCTGCAATTTATGAGATAAAGTTTACTGAATGAGAATTAATCAACTAGAAGTGGCTTCAAAGTAAGATAACAACATAATATTATTTTAGAAAACATTCTTGCTTTGTTCATCTAATTAATTCTAATATTTAAAAACCACTAAATTCTATGATGAGGAATTACGTATCTGGCTTAAAACTGTATCAGGACTTTCTATTTTTATAATTTTAAGATTTCAGAGTACTTATGATCACAGAGAAAAAGGAGAATAGAAATTTTAACTTCTTATTACATCATAGAGGGGCATTCCTGGAATTCATATGAACAAAAATTTCAGTTTTTATGTAGTTTTATTAATAAACACAGGGAAACGATATAATACATTAAATTTTCAAAGTCTCACCATAATATTCTTAAAAGTACAAAATTCAATGCCTAAATTTTACATTTTCCCCATGGTAATGGAAAAAAAAAACCCAGTAATTATAAATACATGTATTTTACAAACAAACTCCCTTTATGATGGAAAGTACCTAGATTACGAGGACTGAATGAGTTATGACTGAATTTCGTACCCTAATGGATCAAGGCCCTGGTCGAGGAGCATCAGAGAGGATTCCCTTAACTTCTGTAGCAATTTCCTTAATTCTTCCTTGGAAAAGACCTGTTTTTAAAAAAGAGAAAATGTTAAGAACGAGAACAAAGAAGAGTGTAAATTTATAGTTACCTAATCAACCTGATTAGCTTAATGCAAGAAGAAATTCCTCTTTTAAGATTTATGTAGCCAGATTTATTTTAAGCCAGAGGTCAGTATATTAGCATAGCTCAAAGCTACTTCTCTGGGCCAGTCTATAAACTTCTAACTGCTTACATATATAAAAATATTCTGTATAAAAAAGCACAAACATTAAAACTGGATCATTACTTGAAAAAAACCTAAGAACATTTAAAGAATATATGCATCTCGCAAAATTAAATATTACTACGTGCGTGCATGCTAAGTCACTTCAGTCTTCTCCAACTCTTTGCAACCCTATACACTGTAGCCCACCAGACCCCTCTGTCCATGGGGATTCTCAGGCAAGAATACTGGAGTGGGCTGCCATGTCCTCGTCCAGGGGATCTTCCTGACTCAGGGATCAAACCCGAGTCCCTTATGCCTCCTGCATTGGCAGGCGGGATCTTTACCACTAATGCTACCTGGGATGCCCCAAATATTACTACAAAGGACATCAAGTCATTAAAATTTAAAAGTGCAAATGCTCTAGCACTTACCAGATACAGTTTGTGGCGCTCAGAGGACACCATATCTGCTAACTGCAGGCATTCCTGATACTGACCAGTACTATGCAATATGGTGTGAAGCAGAAAACACAACATCGGCAGACAAAGCTTTCTCAGTAGAACCATTTGATGTGTTCTTTCATGGTCTTCCTCAGCATCCTACACACAAACCAAAATGCAACAAGCAGAAGCTAAAGAGTTTCTGTAAAGCTTATTAGGCCCATTAAAAATAAAACAAGGCGAGGTTTCTATTTTTTTTTCAGTTGTGCCACTCGACTTGTGGGATATTAGTTTCCTGACCAGGGATCAAACCTGTGCTCCCTGCAGTGGAAGCTTGGGGTCCTAAACACCAGAACACGAAGATATTCCCAAGGTAAGGTTTCAATCACAGTATCGAGTAGACATGATTTTTTGGCAAAAAAACATGAAGATGAACAAAATACACTTCAGAGGAGTCACAAGGCTGATAAGGAAAACAAAATGCTTCTGAAACTGTATTTACTATGTCTTAAATAGACATCTGCATAAAAGGAAAAATGTTAAGACTAGAGCAAAATTCCCCTGGACATACATGGAAGGAAACAGGCAGATATCGGGCATTCTGCAAGGGCATTTCACACCCTGTGGTCCTGCTGGGAGGAAGGGTCAGGACGAGGGGAGAGGTGCGCAGGGAGGACAACTTCACTGCAAATACTTATTCATGATGCTTTTGTATAATTTTTTAAAAATAAAAAATTAAAAGAAAGCAAAGATTTGAATAATAGAGTGAATGGGACAGGACTAACATATATGAGAAAACATCTATGAGAAAATAATGAGCATTTCTTTATAAGTATACAGGGATCTTTCTAAAAAGTTCTGTAGACACTCAAGAGTACAGAAAGAAGAATAGACCTCTTAGGTTCACTATATTTTCTTATAACAAAGTTGGAAAGTAAAATAATTCAAATAATAAAAAGGTACCCAAAATTTCTGAAATAATCTTAAAACTTGAAAGGAAATCCATAGGACTAAGTGTAAAACAAAACGTAAGGAGTTTCCTGGTGGCCTCGTCAGGGATTAGGATTCTGGGCTTTCACTGCCATGGTCTGGGTTCAGTCCCGGCTTGAGGAACTGAGATCCTGCAAGCTAGGCAAGATACAAAAAATAACATGTATCATATATTGTGTGCTATGCTTAGTCGCTCAGTCGTGTCCGACTCTTTGTGACCCCATGGACTGCAGCCCACCAGGCTCCTCTGTCCATGGGATTCTCCAGGCAAGAATACTGGAGTGGGTTGCCATGCCCTCCTCCAGGGGATCTTTCCAACCCACGGATTGAATCAGGCAGATTCCACCATCTGATCCACCAGGAAAGCCCAGGAATACTGGAGTGGGTAGCCTATCGCTTCTCCGGGGGGGTCTTCCCAACCCAGGAATCGAACTGGGGTCAGCCTGCATTGCAGGCGGATTCTTTATCAGCTGAGCTACCAGGGAAGTCCTGCATAATAGTGTAAAGGAAAATGGGACAAACAACAACTGCTCCTTTGAAAAGCCTAATAAGGTATCTAATTAAAATTTTTTCCTTATGACAATTATAGTCATCATTAAAAATGTGTTCAGATGAGAGATTAAATTGTTAAAACATTTTTCAAAGGTAGATATAAGTAGAAGTGTGAAGCAACAGAATGTAATCTGGAAATTATACCAAAGAGTAATTGTACTAACTTTGACATACGTCAGGTTTCTATGCATAGGAAAAATTACTATCAATCTTTTGTTCTGTTTTGAGATACAGATACATGGAAGCAAATATTAAGAAATGCAAGCTTTGTATTTTCTTAGCTTTAAAAGGGAAAGCATCTTCATTTATTTTCTCAAATAAGCACTCATTCCCTTCAGAGATAGATTTAAAACACCTCAAGGCCTCACTCATAATTCATACTGGTGATTCCTACTTGGAGCCTAGTAAGAATGAGAGGACCGCTTCTTTCTGGGTCATTCCATTTGTGCTCCAATATACTCTTTTCCCCTATGCTAAAGAGGCAGAGTACCTGTGGTTCCTAGATCTCTTACCAACTCAAAGTAGCAGCTGGCTTTTTGATAACCTGGTCTCACAGGATGGATTCTGGCACCTGCCTCTCCTAAATCCTGTTGCTGCCAAGTATCAGGGTATGAGCGCCTCTGCTGAGCGCAGGGGCCTGCCGCACCAGCAGACTGGTTGCCATCAAGCATCCAGAATCATGCCTGACGGGCCCAGCAGTCTGCCACGAGGAAGACAGAACAGACTGCTCTGCTACCGCCTATGATATTTTTCTCATCTGAATGAATAAAAGCTTTGAAAAATCCTGTAAATATATAAAACAAAGATTCTATCAGGGATGTACAGTGCCTTATATTAACTGGGATATGTTGATATGTATATATATGTATGTACCCTATTGAGGATGGCGGGGGTGGGGCTGCAGCAGGGTCCCTGAAGAGAGAGAACACTGGAGTACGCTGCTAGGGGAGTCAGGAAGGCATCCACGCAGACACCTCAGGGAAAGAGCATCGTAGGCAGAACAGCAAAGACGCCGGAAAGTTAGAACAAACGAGGGGAGTAGCATACAAAGACTGGGGAGGCAGTCAGGACCAGTGCATGTGACTTTGTTGGTCAAGAAGAGAACTTCGGTTTTTATTCAAAGTGTAATGAGAAGCCATCAGAAGGATCAGAGGAGGAGAGTGCTATCTCTTTGATTTTAAAAGGATTACTAGCTGATCTGTATGAAGGGACTGCATGCGGGAGACTGGAAGCAAGGCAAAGACAGCTAGCGCTTCCAGCAGAATGTGGCCGCGGCAGAGGTGGTGAAGAGAAGTTAGAGGTGGCCTGCCTGCTCCCCGTGCTCTGCCATCCCTGCCTGTGTGCCACCGGCCTCCAACATGGATGGGACCATCCTGCGGTTATGTCAAAAGTGAGGTGCAGATATAAGAGCCAGATAGCAGGTCAGGGCTGTGTTGAACAGCTGTGCCTTGCACAATGGTGCTGGACAGTAAATGAGTGGCTGCTGAAAGCTACAGGTCATGTGCACTTGACATGGAATCTATCTGCGTAAGAGAATGGGTAACATTTCCTAATTCTTATACAAGTTATGTAAGTGCTAACAGGAGCCCTGAATAATTTTCTGCTTCACTGAATATGTAAGAATATTAAGCTAAACTCAACTCAAAATATCATCCTTTATAATTAGTTCAAGAAATCGCTTCTTGTTTGGATTAGATTTGAAGAAGTGATTGACACAGAATGTTGATTTAAAAGTGTTTGTAAGCAAAATGGTAGCATTCATAATTTTCCATTCCAACTCCATTTTAAAAATATTCCAAAGTGTCTGTGACTTTCACTATCTAAGATTAATTAATACTCAGAATAACAAATACATAAGTATAAGTAAGGCATCGAGTCTTTTCAAACCTTAAATACACAATAGCATTGTGCAACACTGACAGTTTATCTTCATGAGCACCAACATAAATCAGGAGAGAAAAGTTTACCGTTAAGGAACCTGCTAAAGATTCACAACCACCGTACTTCCCTGGCAGCTCAATGGTGAGGAGTCTGCCTGCCAGGGCCGGGGACAAGGGTTTCGGTCCCTGGTCCAGGAAGGCCCCACATGCCACGGAGCAGCTGAGTCTCACCCAGAACCTGTGCTCCCCGGTAGAGAAGCCACTGCAACGAGAAGCTGACGCACAACTAGGGAGTGGGCCCTGCTCGCCGAAACTAGAGGAAAGCCCGTGCAACTATGAAGACCCAGCACAGTAAAGAAGCAATTAATGAATTAATTCAATAATAATAATAAAAGGAACCCACACATACACAAAAAGGTTCAAAGCTATGAAGCCTGCAGGGTTCTATTATGAATTTATATGTAAGATGTGGAGACTTTAAGATTGTTACTGTATCAGGAGTGAGTAGCAACCAGTAGTAGTAAATTAAGAAAGCAGGACTGGGTTTCACCTCCACAGACTCTGGTTTACTTGGTCTGAAGTAGGGCTGGGCCTTTTTTTTTTAAATTAAATTACCTAAGAAGCTTTAGTATTTAAATTACCTGGGAAGCTTTAGTATTTTTTAGTATTTAAATAGCAAACTGTCCTTAATGTTTTGCTTCTGGTCAGAAAATGGAAGCCAATAAAGTGAGGAAAAAATGTAGTAGCAAAAAACAAAACAAACAATAAGAAAGAACTTGACTATATTAAAATTCAGGGGATGCAGAAGGAAAGATACCAAAAAAACTCTTAGGATTTTCCTATTCAAAATAACGTTATCCAAGAATCCAGCATTTATAATCCTTGGAACTGAGCTAAATGCACTGTTTCTGTCACACCCCAGGAGCGAGCCTCAATACCTTTCCCTCACAACATTACTACTTGCAGCATTCTTCCTTTCCCCCACTTCTACTCATCCAAATTTACCCCTCGTTCGAGGTTCAGTCAAATGCTGTACCTTTTAAGCATTCCGTCCAGATCTCTTCTGCGTAGAAGCAGGTTTTTTCTTTTCCTGAAGTCACAAAATACTTCATATGTGCTTTTTGGGGGCATTTAGTACTTCTGTAACTGATTCTCAACCCAGGCTACACATTCACGCCTCCAGGTAATTTAAATTTTTTTTTTTAAAGCCCAGCCCCACTTCAGACCAATTAAACCAGAATCTGTGGAGGTGAAACCCAGTATTTCTTTTTGGTATCTAAAAATATTTTTAAATTGAAAATCATTTCAAACAAACTAAATTAAAACAATAGTACAAAGACTATCTCAATACCCTTTACCCTGCTTTGCTCAATCTTTACCCTACTTTACGATTTGCTTCTGTGTGTGTATCTATAAACACATTTTTTTTAAAAACCCTTTGAGGGCAAGTTGCATAATCATGTTCTATTACCTCTAAATGCTTCAGAGTTTATTTCCTAATAAGGAGAATTTTTTTCTAATATAGTCACAGTGCAGTTAACGACTTCAGAAAATTTAACAGTGATACAATACCTTAACATCACCGACTCAACACTGTCCTTTAATAGCATCTTTTTTTCTCCAACACAGGATACAGTTTAGAACCACATGTTGTATTTAACTGTCATGTCTTTTTGGGACTCTAAAAGGTTTTTTTGTTTTAATACAATTTTTAAAGGTTACAATCCATTTAGCTATCACAAAATACTGACTTCACTCCCCATGTTGTACAACATGTCCTCCTAGCCTACTTTACACCCAGTGGTTTGTACCCCCACCTCCCTACAGCCCCTATGATGTCCTCCTTTCCTCTCCCCACTGGTAGCCACTAGTGCAATCAACCCAGTATTTTTTAAAAGTTCTCCAGGTCATTTAAATACAGTTGAGAGGTGAGAGCCACCGCTTTATGTATGTCTTATTCACTCTACTAGACTTATCTTCACCTCGAAAGACTGAGTTGAATACATGAACAACTGATTTTTGGTCCAGAATTTTAAAAAATTAGATTTCACTATACTGACCGAACATATTAAATATGGAGCAACAGTTTACCCAGGAGTCAGACATTCATATATTCCCTAACTAGTATTTCAGGTTAGACTTAAATTATGGAATGTTCAGTTATAATATAGTACAAAGGTTATACAAGATCTGCAACTGCTCCTATTCAGAGAAAGAACTTAAAAAAAAAAAAAGATGTAGCTTGTTTGATTTTGCTTTTAGTTATAAACAATGCTCAGAGCTTACCTCTCTAACATCCACCATCCACCCTCCATCAACAAACAACAAGACATTGTACATTTTTTCCTTCACATCAGCAGTTAGGGCATCCAAATGCCCTTTCCAAATACCATAATCCATCTGGAAAACAGATATAAGGCAGATATATAATAGACTATAATATATTTGCAAAGTACAGAGATGTACATATATGGAACATCATTCTAAAGAACTGACATTCAGTAAGCCAAATATAAACTAAACATCAACAGATTGCAGTTTAATAAAACATTAAAATGTTTACCATGTAAATGAACACTATTGTCACCTGAAGGTACGTTTCATATTTGGTTAATTATCTACAAAAAGGAAACTAAACAGATTTCTTTCTTCAAAGCAGAACAGTAATAAGGAAGATCAACTCTTATAACAGGAATGTAACAGTTTGAAGAAATGATCTCCTTAAATATATGACTTGTATTTTTGAGATGCAATGAGACATGTCTCATCTACATTTAACTTACTTCATATTTCTTTTCTTTGTGTTCATGGGCCACTTTCTCAGTAAAAGTTGCTTGAGTTGTCAAGGTAGGTTTTTGTGGAGCTGAATTCATATGCTTAAACCACTCATTAAAGGTTTCATGGGCTTCCTAAGATTAAAATAGAAAAATACAAAAAATGAAAACTTTTCACATGTGTTCAACAAAATTTTTGGTTCTTAGAAGTAATTTTGCAGTAGTAAGAAATAAAATTGTTCAATATTTCTTTTTTATACAAAAAAATGACGAATATGTTTGTGATATTCACATGCTTATCTGTGTCCTTGACGAGCCTATTAGCTTCCAGAGGGAAGGAAAGAAATTCAGACTTAGTCCTAAAACCTAGCTAATCACTTCATTATTTGTTGAATGAATTTTGCATGAGTATGCTGTTATTTTAGTCATAACACAGATTATCTTGCCTTTTTTTTCAGTTGTTGCCAAAAGCAGAAATGCTAGTTGAGTTAAGAACTCAAAGCATCTTAAGAGAACACACTGTGTCGGTTAACAATGATTAGAGGTGCATGCACGGTTAACAATGATTAGGGCGCAGGCACAGGAGAACAAGGTCAGGACGCCCAAGCTCTTAGGGAGAGTGAATCCCACAGTCACAGGGGAGGGGAGAGAGCAAGTCAATCACCACTTCTCAAAAACGTCATTTAAGGTTTGAGAGTGAATCAGGAAAGTCATCATAAAGAAGGGCACTTCATGGTTTTCTCTACAATCTCACCAAGTAAGCTCTGATGCACAAATGTTCTCGGATAGCATTATCATCTTCAGCAGGAAGTGGGCTGTCCATTCCTTGCTCCTCCCACTGGTTATAGATTTCTGCTATTGAATCCTGAGGAATTTTCACAAATACTTCTTTTGCAGCTTCGTGCTTTTTTGAGGCTGTGGAAAAGATATACAGTTTTTTAATATATATGGATTTCTGTGTAGTGGTTTCTAAAGGAGTCAAATTATTAGTCTGCAACTTTCATAGCGATCTGTAACCATTCCAGGTCCCAAGTACTTCTGTTAAAGGTTTGGGTGATCTTTCTACCTAATGGCTGGGCATTTCCTTATTTTAGTGTGACAGTCACATAAAGGATTGATTAAATGTAGCTACTTTTGTTTTCATTATTTATTTAATTCAATTTTTGGCTGCACTGCATAGCATGACAAATCTTACTTCCCCAAGCAGGGACTGAACCCAAATCCATTGCAATGGAACATGGAGTCTTAAACACTGGATCACCAGGAAATCCCGAAGTTACTTTTACATACTACGTCTTAAAAAAAAAATTCCATTTTTCAAAACCTTGAGATTAAATGTAAAATTGAGTGGGACATAAAAAGTCACTATTAAATATGTTTTGTTTCACAATATCAGCCATAAGAGTGGGTGTTTTGTACCTTACCCTACTGGAAGGGTTAGAAAAACAAAGTTTAAGAACAGAAAAAGAAACTCTGAAAAAAGAATATAAAATGGAGCATACCCAAGAATTTCCTCATTATCGCATTGCCTTGCTTTAGTGCTTCTGCTCTCTGTGCTGGGTCGAACACCAACCAGTCAATTACATCAATTTTTAATCGGTCTTCCTATTCATTTAATTGGAAAAAAAGAAATGTCAGTTGTGCTTTTTTCCTAAGATATTCTGCACATTAATAGAATTGGCTTACATCTGTACTACTAATGAATATTTTCCTTTGGGTTATACAAAATTATGAGAAAAAATAGCTTTTCTTGGTTGATTTTCACATTTAATAACTCTCTATTAAATTATAGAAAAAACTTATTGGACTATCAGTCTGGAATTATATATCTGAAGTGCCACCAATTTAATTATCTGATTCCTTTAAGTGCTATTCTACAACTTTTTCTTTCCTAGATAAAACTTTCTATTCTTTTCTGAAAATAAGGAATAAGTAAACTACATAAAAATTAGTTAATTGCTCAAGTATCCAGATGAGTAAAAATCCAATGCTCAGGTTTTTACTATTAAAGAAGCTTCCTTTAACATAACACTACTGCTAAGCAATTCCTTACACAAGACCTTAAGTTTGCTGCCAATTTTCATAACTAGGCTGACAAAGAAAAATTCTTAAAAAAAGAAAGAAGCCAGAGTATTTTAAAGTAGACATTTAGAAAAGCATAACATGAGGGATTATTCAGAATTACATAATACACCTCTTTTACCCTCATATTACCTCAGTAGTACCCATATCCAGCGCTGGGGACAGGTCATGATGACTGAATTCACCATCATCTTTCTTTCGAATATTCTCAACTACAGTTTTTGTTATAGCTGCAATATCCAAATCTAAAGAATTTTTTGAAGGGACAAAAACAAGAATCAATCATTCACACTAATATTCTTTAATTACAATGATTTAGTAAATCTGGGATGACAATTCTTTAAAATATGAAAGAAATTATAAAAGAAAATGCCACAACTAAAAGATATTTTACACAAGTTACAGTATGAATTATTTCATTCCAAAACAGAATTTCATTGAAAACTTAATTTCTTCTTTTACTCTCAAGAGAAACAGGATTTAAAACTAGAAGGATATATGTTACTAAGACAAAATGATAATCTGCCTACAGAGCCCAACAGATGAAGCCTTTCATTTTTACCTGCCTCTTTGGCCAGCTCCAGGCAATGGTGGCGCTGTTCAAACTCTGTAACACCTTCCAAAAATAATGCATACTGGGCAACAGCAAGGTCTTGAGGCAAATGACAGGTATAAAATGCTATGAGATTTGTATGTTTCTCATTTATTAAAAGCTGAAAAATAGAAAAGGATCAAAATGTTAATATGTCAATAATAAAGCAAGTTCTAAGAAAAACAGCGTGATTCAATTCAAAATTTTAAACATATTTAGGAGAGATGTATAGAGTTGTACTGCTAAACAGGATTAATTTTAAATTCCAGAAGAAAGTATTTATGATAATTAAAAGATATTTATGTATTCTGATGACCTTCCTGCCACTAGATATTAAAATACTATCATTCTGACTTATGTTTTCATTAAAATGGTCAAAGGAAAAAAAAGAATCAAATTGTGGATTTGATTTTACCTGTTTTACCAGAGTTTACCTGTATATATGTCTTTAAAACGTCAATGGAAATTTCTTCCTTCATAGGAAAAAAAAATATAATTAAATTATAAATATAGCTCTTTATGTGTACTACCAATATATCTAATAAAAATCCTGCCATAATGATTTTTAGTATTTACCACTGAGCAGTAACTACATGTCAGGGTAACTGCTTAACAAATTTCTTGTATTAACTTACCCTAACTCTTTGTGGGTAATTACTATTATTGTTCACATTTCAGAGGAAGAAAGTAAGACTTAAAGAGGTCTTATTTACCCAGATTTACATGACTAGAAGCTTCTGAATAAGAATGTGAATCCAAGATTCTTAATCCAAAACCCCAGCTTTCAACTACTACGTCATTCTGCTTTCTATGAATACTCTGCTCAAAATGTTACCAATCATTTAGGACAGAAGAAAAAGAAAACAAAGGTTTAAAATCCCGCAGAAAACTTAAGTCTGGTTCAGCTGGCTTAGCTGGTTGATTCAGAGTTGGGTACTGATGAGGACTGAAGTTATAAACTGTCTCCAAACCAGGTAGCCATCAGCATTCTGCAGTCAGATTAGAACATTAATGAGTCATCTGCAGTGAGTTATCACTGAGTGACAATGTGAGACTATGGTCACCATTTCTAGAAAATAAAAACCAGAAAGTAGCATGTTTTCCTGACAACAGGTGTATAAAGCGTCAGCCTTGCAGAGAAGAGCATACAGCTCATTTTTATTTACTTTGGTCTGTAGTCCCAGAGTGCGGAAAAACAAAATGAGGTGAGTCATGAAGCGGAGGAGGTGTCCAGGTAGACTGTTCCTGCTTTTAGAAAGCCATTTGCTAAATTCATCCATCAAACCTACAAGCCATTAAAGCAAAGATTTAGATGGATACAAATCAAAAGAGATATAAACACTATCCAAGGACATTTATTATATTCATATAACACTTATCAATTCACTGTCTTATTGTTATGAACTACCACAAAAAACAGCCTCTGGATTAAATTCAAACTTTATTTTCTAAAAATTATATAGTTGCAGTCAGATAGGTTGATATTTATAGAGATGATAAGATGTGGTAAGTCATATACACTGTTTTGATAACTTTTTACAAAATTACTTTAAAAAACCAAAGAACTCATGCAAAGTAAAATAAAATATATCTTACCATCAATGTCTCCCAGGATAAGGAATTTTTGAACTACATGATAATGTTCTTGATTCTCTTCTAGAACTCTCTGAAAAATTTTTTACATTTTCTGTAAATTTATTATGGTCATTCTATAGTGTATACTCATTGGTAAGCTAAAAACATAAAGTGTTGAAGGAACATATACAAACAAAGGGCTTCCCAGTGTCTCAGCAGTAAAACAATCACCCTGCAATGCAGGAGCCGCAGGAGACATGGGTTCGATCCCTGGGTCGGGAGGATCCCCTGGAGCAGGGCATGACAACCCACTCCAGTACTCTTGCCTGGAGAATCCCAGGGACAGAGGAGCCTGGCAGGCTATAGTCCATGGGGACGCAGAGTCAGACACGACATGCATGCATACAAAGAAAAGGCTGGAAATGAAGGGTATTAGGAAACCTAAATCAAGTATGAGAAAGATACTGCCATTGGAACTCAAGGCTGAACATTATTTTTGAAACAGAGAACTGTGATAAAACATTTAATCTCTGTGAATGTTATGAAACTTTTTAATATATTTTACTGTTTTCCTTGACAGTCCATGGTGAACCAGAAGAGAAGGGCACAGGTGACCAAAGCAAAATAAACTGCAAGATTTGCTTCAACATAAACAGCGGTTTTTGAAAGCATTCATCTGCAAATGGCACTAAGAGTAATAAAATCCATCAAAATAGTGATTAGGCACAGAGTAGAACAAATTTACAAGTAACCTGCTGTTAGATTTTTTTCTAAAGAAAATGATTCCTGTATTTTTGGTCAATTTTTTTTTTCTATGTGGGATAGTTGATCTTGAGTCTGCAGCAAGGAAGCTGGCACCAGACTTCTCCAAATCCACATTTCCTTGCCTCCAATTCTTATGTGTCCAAAAGACAGGAAATCATAGACCCGCCTTTGTAGGAGGGTTTTAATTTTTATTTGTTTAAATTTTCTTCCAGCAGTCTTTCATTTTTACAAATATTTTCTCCACCTGGAACTGACTGTAATGCATGTCATGAGGCAGAGATCTAGCTTTGTTTTATTTCAGATGGAAAATCAATTATGTCCATACCATGTATGTAAATAAACCACCCCTCCTTCTCTGAAAGAAAGGTCATCTGTCCTTTATTAAGTTCTCATATATACTTGAATGTAATACGGACTTTTGTGTTCTGATGATCTATTTATTCCTGTGCCAATTCCATTGTTTTATTAAATCTTTATATTATTTTATTATTGAGGAACAACATAACTACTGTTCTTTTCTAAATCTTATTTCTATTCCCACTTCTCTGTTGCTTGGAAATTTTCTGTTCAGAAATAATACCCCAGAGAAATAGCTTTCAACATTAACTTTGGAATGACTGATATTAACAACAAATCATCTCATCCAGGAATGTGCTAAATCTATTTACTTGTGTCTTTCAATAAGATTCTATAGATTTTTTTATGGAAGTACTCAAACCCTTGGTTATTTATTCCTAGGCATCTTACAGTTTTGGTCAGTAATTTAAATGAGACTTTTGGGGGATATTTAACTTATATGCAGAGTACATCATGAGAAACGCTGGGCTGGAGGAAGCATGAGCTGGAATCAAGATTGCCGGGAGAAATATCAATAACCTCAGATATGCAGATGACACCACTCTCTACTTTTTAATATGCTGTCTAGGCTGGTCATAACTTACCTTCCAAGCAGTAAGGAAAAGGAGTATATCAAGGCTGTATATTGTCACCCTACTTATTTAACTTATATGCAGTGTACATCATGAGAAATGCTGGACTGGGTGAAGCACATGGTTTTTCTAGTAGTCATGTATGTATGTGAGAGTTGGACTATAAAGAAAGCTGAGCGCCGAAGAATTGATGCTTTTGAACTGTGGTGTTGGAGAAGACTCTTGAGAGTCCCTTGGACTGCAAGGAGGTCCAACCAGTCCATACTAAAGGAGATCAGTCCCGGGTGTTCATTGAAGGACTGATGTTGAAGTTGAAACTCCAATACTCTGGCCACATGATGCAAAGAGCTGACTCATTTGAAAAGACCCTGATGCTGGGAAAGACTGAGGGCAGGAGGAGAAGGGGATGACAGACGGTAAGGTGGTTGGATGGCATCACCAACTCAGTGGACATGGGTCTGGGTGGACTCTGGCAGTTGGTGATGGACATGGAGGCCTGGCCTGCTGCGGTTCATGGGGTTGCAAAGAGTCAGACACGACTGAGCGACTGAACTGAACTGAAATCCTTTTCTTATTAGCTGTAACAAGTACAAAAAGGCTATAATTTTTTCATAACTTTATCTTGAATTTAGATACTTTAAAAATTCTCTTAATTATAGTAACTTATTGAGTCACAATTTTCTATATTTATACTTTTATCATATGTAAATGTTCTCCTCTTTCTAGATTTGTATCTATTCCGTGATTTTCATTTACTGGAAAATAAAATGACTCTCATTTGTTTTATTTTCATTTTCTAGAATCTCCAAAACAGAGTGATTTAAAAAAAGAAAAATTTGATAGAGAAAGTATTAACTTTTTTTCACACTATACAAAGAGATCTTACACAACAAAAAGGAAAAGATAAAATTCAACAGAAAAATAAGTGAAAGTTCTAAATAGGAAATTCAAAAATGGTCAATAAACACAGGAAAACTTGCTCAGCCTTATGAACAGACAGGGAAATATGAGAACAGTGAGTTTCTACTTCCTACTTCATCTGATGGGTTGGCAAAAACAAACTATGACATGTGGGACTAGTGAGAAGGCAGGGAAATGGTCATATTAATAAATTATTTGTAGGAATATGAATTAATTGCTATAACCAGGGAATTAAAATAACACTAACAAGAACATTCACTGCAATGCTACAAGTAACCCAAATGATTACCAAAAAGGGAATGATTAAAAAATGATATATCATTCTATAGAATATTATATACCTATTAAAAATAATAAGCTAGGTTATTAAATTTATATCCATTAACTCAAAGACAGTCTCATTAAACAGGGCAGGGGGGCATGCAGAGGAGGTAGCCATAAACTAATGTAGGTAGAATGACACGAAGAACAAACTCAAAAAAACAAAATCCTATATTGGAATATCTACATATATTTGTAAGAGTATGGAGAAGGATATGAAGGATACATATCCATGTTTTATCATCTCGGTGAATGAGAATAATCATAAAGAGGCTGGGAGGAAATTTTATAAAGGTCTTTCTTATATAATACATTTTTAGATTATTTTGTTACAAGTATATACTAAGGTCATTTTTTAAAAGTTTTAAGAATATTACTTTAAAAAATACTAGATTATTTTGAGATCTAGGAAAATAAAGTTGTGTTCATTTTCCATTCCAATTTTAATTTTTCAAGAAGAAATCAATCAACCAGCATACACGCATGCCATGTATTTCAATGAAATAAATTCTAAACCAAATAAACAGAACTGATGTATCATTTAAATATGCAATTAAGTTTCTTCCTTTTAAAGCATATTCTTACTTGAGTAAGCTGTGAGGAAAGGAAGAGAGGATATAACAAGATTCCACATACTTTTGTGCCTTTCAGCTATAGTACACAACAATGTAACATTTAGTCTCCGATTCCAATTATCCTAAAATATTAATATTTACCTTTTTATCAGTAGCTTGAAGTTCTTCAAAAACCTTTTCTAAGGTCCAACTTTTGAAACAAAAATCAAGAAAACGGATAAAGTAACATTAATATATAAAATGAACAAAGACTACAGAATAAAACTTCAGAGCATGCTACAAATCCTCATGATAACCAATAGACTCACTTTGCTTCCAAATACTCTCTAGGGAGTTCTTCAGTTTCATCCAGAGTCATTACTGATGTCCTGATCTCCTGTTCAACCAGACTGTCCACCATCACCCTAAAGTAGGCCCACACTGTGTCCTCCCAAGTATCACAGACAGGAAGCAGCTTTACCCCGTTTCAAAACAGAAACATGCAGACATAGGCAACAAAAAAAAGGGAAAAGCAGTTGAACCTCTTGATATGAACTATAAAATCACTATAACAACATAAAACATGTGGATTATAAACTATCATACCAAATAACCCTGTGTCTCCAACTTCTCCCCAAACCACAACCTCTTTTGGTGGAGGGCCCAGTGGGCAGCGTGTGGGATCTCAGTCCCCACATGGAGACAGTGGGGTGGAACCAGTAGTTCCTACAGTGGAAGCGCAGAGTCTTAACCGCCAGACCATCAGGGGAACCCCTCAAGCCACATCTTCTAACAAGTTTGGGCTCTCATAGCATCAATTTTCCATGCTGATATAAGATGGTGCTTCAACTAATTAAGATAACATCCCTCAAAATAACTATGAAATGTAGGGATAGAGGGAGCTGTGAGAAGCACACGTATGTGAGACAATTCTAACAGTCATACTGTGCCTTAGTGGTACATTTCTGGATAAAGCTATGGTAACAAAAGTTATAAATAAATGTGTATTGTAATTATATTTACAATTCTGAGAAACTGAAGTCTGACTGCACGGATTAAAACATCATTTGGTATATGGGATACATCAAATTAAGTAGCTCAAGTTACCATTCTATTTCATAATTATCATTGTTATTCTTAGAAACTAGCTTAAGCTCTATGATTACTATATTAGAATATTTCATGCAGCTGATTCCATTCCACAGGAAAAAAGAATTATTAAAATACACTGCATACCTGCTTGAGATTCCCACTTAGAGCTGCGTACATTGCTCTCTCATGTCTATTAAAGAGCTCCTGAAATACAAAGAATAAAACTGAACTACTGTTTATCTCAGTATGTCAATTTTTTCATAATCTGGAATTCTGCAGTATCTTCTAAACTGAACTTTTTGTTCCCGAACAGTCTCTAAACTTTAGTAAAAGATCTACTGGGGAACTAAGAAGGAAGGATCCCTTAGTTTGATGTAGTCAATGCTGAAATCTTCCAGAAAAGAGCTAAATTTCAAATACAGAGTGAAAGCAGATTCAACTCTAATGGATGCTTTGATTATTTTATAGTCAAATTGTATTCCAGATAGAATCCGCATAGATGTTTTCTCCTATAAAATTTCTAAATACCTAACACTGATACTGATCTAAGAACAACATCAAAACAAGGCCCTTGGTGTACCAGTTTGCATCAAATTCCTAAGCAGAATTAATTATTTTCACCAAATTATCCTACTTTACTTTTGGATTCTATTAATGACATTTCCTGTTTTCTCACCATTCAAACAAGAGACTTCAGAGATTCTCACTACATAATTGAGTCTTCCTCTGCCTTCTATTTCCAGTTTCTGGTCCTGATCATTTTTCGTTCCTTTCTTTTCTACTCGCCATATTAACCGAGGACAGGCCCTTATTGTGTCTGAATAATTCTGATAGGCTTCTAACTAGTTTCTCGGTCTTTGGTTCTTCAATTTTAAGCCTATTTTCCACTGCCATGCTAATCTTAAAGCACTGCTGTCACGTGCCTTCAATGGTTTTGAGGGTTCACTACTCTCTATGGTACAAAGTTCCCATTCCTTGGAGCAACGTCTGAGAACCACCACTGCCTGCTCTTAATGTTTTCCACCATCTTCCCATTACAGTCAGTTCTGCTACAGTGCTTTACTGAAAATGTGAATTTGTTCCAATGCAATTGATTTATCAAGGAACAATTTGAACATAATACAAACTTCCCATTTCTTTATGCACAATTTCATTCACAAGAAACACTGGTCAAATACAGGAAACAACACCTAACTGAACTAAGCCACTTAGAAATACACAAAACTGAGACTCCTCAAACACCTACCAGCCCCCTGGGCTCTCCAGGTGTATATTAAACTAAATTTTTTTGCATCAATTGTTACAATTTTGTTTTGACTTCAGATAGCCTCCTTCTATCACTTCTCAGTAACTCACAAGCTGCAACCCTCTGATATCCAGTACCACAAGCAAACTCCAGTTCTTTTTTAAGGTAAACTGCCATATTTATTGCAGTTACTTATGTATTTCCTGTTTATTTAACAAGAGTGAAACTGTGTGGTTTTTATTAAGTTTTTATCTTTTTAAGCATTACTGATGGTTTTTGAGTATTGTGCTCTTAACTCCATTTTCCCTCAAAGCTCTGGATTTTCTCCACCATTTGTCCTGCTGCAATGACTGCTAGGAATGCATAGGTCATGTCACAACAGAACTGACAATATTTCCTTTCGTGAGCCTTCTGCTCCAACCTGATAGACCTACCTTCCCTTGAGTTTTCCCAACCTAGGTATCCTATCTAGAATTCCCTCCTCTGTTTTTCATGACCAACAACTCAAATTTTTAAAAGATCGATTCAGTTCTCTCTTGGGAACCCAGCCCAGTGCTTATTCTGTGACTTCATTTGCTACTCCTTTTTTTTTTTGGTATTTTTGCCTTATTTCAGTGCTTAATTCTTGGTACTCAATGTCTGAATAACTCTCATTAGTAAAGCCTACCCTATTCTTCAGTCTGATTGAAAGTTCTGAAAAACAAGAACTTTAGTTCTTAACTACTCTCAAACATCCACAACATTTTCAGCAGGCCTTCAGTGTATTAAAAGTAGAAATCAGTATCAGTAAATATTTTATTTTATCTTACATCTTCTGCCATTCTCCAACAACTTATTTTCCAAATGCATCTATATGGATTCCCTTCAACAGGTTCTAATTCTGTTCCTATAAAACAGTAAAAGAAATAAAGTTTACAGTTTAAAATGAAACCTTACTTCAACAATTTCTAAAAACAAAAGCTATACTTCACAAAATTGCTATTTAGAGTTAAGTATATCCCAACTCTCAGAATAAAATCCATTAAACTACCTCCATTAACATTGGGGTCATGATAGAGTTTCCAGCCTTCAAGTGTTGCAGCTCTCCACGCCTGCCCACAGCGTTTGCAGAGTCGCTGTGCCTTTAGAAACAAGAAAAAGAGCGGTTGACCATATAACCAATGCAGTACCAAACAAATACACGTGCTTTGTAGAAAAATATAAGTGATTTCACAAAGGATTAGACAACTTAAGGCACAGATGTCGCAAAGGACGGTGTGGACAAATTAGTAATAGCATTTCACATATGCATGTCCTTCTGTGGTCCCTCCCCATCTTCCTTTCCCTAATAATCCCTTTGCTCTTTGATTTTGGGCTCACCACTAGGTGCTCATGGTGCCCACAAGCATTTAATTCTGCTAAAGACAAATGGGTTAGAAAGGTTGATGACCCCTGATTTATGTAAAAATAGTCTCTATAACGACAGGGGTGCTACTACTCATTCAGGCCATAAACATGGTATGTCTTTATGTTAAATGTGACCAATCAAAGGCACCTGATGTACCACTGAGATAAGACACACGCTTGTTGGTCCAGAATCTCTTCAGGAATGATCTCTCCCCCATTTAGTTCACATGGTTTGAGTAGATCATATGATTCCACCTCTGAACTCAACCATCAGGCATATGATCAAACAAGAATCATTCCCAGGACTGTTGCCAGAGATGCTGGGAAAGAGACACTCCTTTTGCTGGGGCTGCTCGCTTGCAGGAGGATTTAAGGATGGAGGCGCTGGTGGCTGTTACTGACACAAACGGCTTCTTAAGAATGAAGTCACTGAGACGACAGCAGAGTCAAGAGCCTGGACGTTAAGTGACATCGTTTGAGTCCCTGGATCCTGCCAGATACAACCCTCTACACTTCTCTGTTCTAGGGACCGACCAACTCCCGGCTTGTAAGTAATCTGAGTTAGGTTTCTGTCATTTGAGCCTACAGAATCTCATTACTACACCAGTCAAAAAGCATCATACTCCGAACATATTTTGAATTTTATGGCTAATAAAAGTTATAAAAGCTATAATCAAAGCTATAATGTAGCAACATGGAAAAATACTTTTCAAATATTTGATATGTTATCTAAACAAAGGCAGGACAAAATCTGAACGCAGAATCTTAAAAACATTTGTCTAAGTGAAATTAGCTGGACAGAAATGAGCAACTATTATATGATTCCACTTACATCATAGCTAGAACAGGCAAATTCACAGAGACAGAAAGTAGATTGGGTTACCAAATATTGAGGGAAAGGGAGAATGGGAAATTATTGCATAATGATTACTGAATTTGTTTGGAGTGACAAAAAAGTTTTAGAAACAAACAGTGGTAATGATTGCACGACACTATGAAAGCACTTAACACCACTAAAATCAACATTTGAAAATGGCCAAAATGACAGATTTTGTTATATATCTTTTATCATAACAAAAAAATCAATAATGCAATATACCAAAAAACTACTGAGTTAGTCACTTGAAGTGGATGAACAGTACAGTGTTTGAATTATATCTCCATAAAGATTAAAAAAAAATACCTGGAGGTGTACTACATTTACAATTATGTTAAAAACAGGTAAAAAAGAAAAAGGGTTGTAAGTAAATTTCTATTTAAAACCTATCTGTGATTATGCAAAAGTAGTAGGTCCTTATAAGTTTTTGTTTTTCAAGCCTCTCAGTAACATGATTATATTTTTGTTTTCTGTTGTCAAAGTTACATCTCGTTTGCCATTGTGACTCCTAATATCCTGCACGTAACTTGGCACAGTGGCCGGGCCTTAAATATTTTCTGAATAAATGAATATATGTTGCTTCTTTTCTTAATTAAAAAATAAGAATGATGTTTAATAATCCAAGGGTTATTACTATAAGAAATTATTTAATATACACTGGTGGTATGTAACAGAGAAGAACAAACAACACTTTGAACTAACATATTTCAATCTAAAGAACATCATCTAGAGTACAGCAAAACAGGTACAACATAATATTTGATGCTTGAAGCACCTATGCATCAGACTATCCCATTTAAAGGAGTTCACAAAACCATTCAGTAAGCGGTGTTATTAGATACTTCACATCCTACATGCAAAATCTTAACTGTCACAAAGGAGGTTACATTTTAAAGAGGCGAAGTTAAAAGGAAGAAGTATGAGGGCACCATAGTCTTCAAATGCTACACAGTGTCAACTAGAAGAGCAATCAGAGTCAGATTTATTCTTAACTCTTAAAAATCCAAACTAGAAATAATGAGGCTATGCCTATAGTACGAAGTACAAATATGGGAAGCCAAAGCTTGACTTCTTATAAAGAATTTTCTACCAGAGATATGCAAACTAAAGTGCACTGCTTTCTGAAATAATGTGTTCTTTATCACTGAAAATGTTAGGCGTTAGACCCAGAAATACTGTGAAAAACATTAATGCATTGAGGAAGTATACTAAGTTGTCACAAAAATCCCTTCAAACTTAGTCTCTGACTTTCCAACACAGGACCAGCAGGGTGTGTATCATTTACCTCTTCTGTCATCCCAGCACGAATCAGAGTGAAAAGATATTTGAGTAATCTGACTTCATCTTCTCTATCCAGATCATCAAGTGGCATCTTCTGTCTTATAGGAGCATCAGGGTCCTACAAAAATTAATTAATCAACTATAAATTCTTCATATGCATATATAATTTAAACATCATTGAGACATGATAAACGTCTGAGTTTATATACTGAAATAAACTAATTTAATATAGTTAGGTAACAAAGGGAATGAAAAAGTCGTAAGTGTTCCAAATAGACGTAATTGTCTGCTGCCCCTTCAAAACAGACTCCACTGGTCCACAAAGCTGCATGCCTTAGTCAAGGCAAGGCAGAGATATCACTAGCCCAGCCCAGAAACTCTAGAAATTCTACTCACAATTTAAGTAGACTTGAGTTCTACCCTGCTGTAGCAACTATGTGGCCAAGTTAATCCTAACTAGAATTAGGCCTCGATGGAGAATGAGCAGAGAAACTCCAGGAATCACAATGCAGGCAGTGACCATAAGGTGCATAGCTGGTTCTTTCTGAGAATGTACGAGAAGGGAGCCCAGTATGGGATTAAAACTACATAAAAATAAACCCATGTCTAACAAAAGAAGTTTTAAAATAGATTTCTGATAAATACCTCTACCCTCCAACAGCTATTCCTAACTACCTTTCACGAATAGAAACAAATGAGCATTTAAACACTAGGGAGAACACTGGCCTCACTTCTGAGGCAAAGAACACACATGATCTACATGATGAATTTCAGATGAAAAGCTACTTTAATATGACTTCAAGGGAGGAAGTAATTCTTATTCCAAATGTTACTGAGTAATATGAGTATCAGTTCAAAAAATGGAATGCACAATAGGTCAACTGGCTAGTTCCACAAATATTTTTGCTGATATAATCATTCAATTTTGGAAGATGGTTTCTTTCTGACAAAAGGAAATCACCTTCCAGAAGTTAAGGATAAATGATTTTTAGTTGTTTGTTGTGGGATAATTTTCTACAATTTATTATAAGCACTGTCAGTGGTTTCTAAATAATTTTCATCAAAACGCACTTTTGTTACGAAATAGAGTTTTACCCATTTTTTCAGTTCTTACCTACTTCTCTCACTCTTCACTATAAACTTCTAGTTCACATGCCTCCACCTATCACAAAGCTGTTTTGTCATTTCTACAGTTATTAGACTCTCATTTTTTTCAAACCCACTGTTACTCCCATTACTCATATCCTAGAATCACTTTTTTCCAACCTCAAGCTAATTCACAAAGCTTTCTTTTCTCTTCCTGCTTTCTACATAGAAGAACCTTCACAGGTCACCATCTTATAATTAAAGAGTTAAACCTTGCTATAAGGTCAAAATTAATTTGTTTTAATGTTGGCAAATCAGAAATACTTTCTACACTCTCTTTTACAATTTACAATCCATAGGCCACAGATGGGCTCAATACATGCCATTAAATTCAAATGCAACTTAGTACTTCTTAAGATTTAAACAGTATATGCAGTCCTTCAGAAATCTACAACAAGGATTCAAGAGAAGAAAATTCTCAGTCTTTAAGAAAATCACTTAACTTTGAGGGCAACTTTCATTTCAAAGAACACTTACCAATTCAGTAACAAGAGGACGGACACTTCCTATATAAGAAGATAGTTGCCGCTGTTTCAAGGTATGCAGAGTATTTTCCCTGAAAATATATGTACAACTTCTTTTTAGGAGACAGTTTGTATATGTTTACTTAAAGAATCAAGTCAAGTCACAATAAGAGTACCAACTCAGAAAAAACATGCAAAACACTAAAACAAAAGGGCATTTTAGCTCAGACAACTAATGATGTTGAACATTTTTTCATGACTTATTGACCATTTATTTATTCACTTTTGTAAGGTATCTCTTCAGATCTTTGTCTTTTTTATTGGGTTATCTCTTTGTTACAAGTTGGAGTTCTTTATGTTTCTTCCAGTCTGTGGCTTGCCACTAATTCATTTTGTCAATTATATCTTTTAATAAGAATTTTTAATTTTGGTAAAGTCAAATCACTCTTTCCCTATTACTGTTTTCTGTGACAATCACTTATTCTCCAAGTCACAAAAATGTCCTCTTATATTTTCCTCTAAAAAGCTTTAGGTTTTAGCTTTTACAACTGGGATTATGATCCATCTTGAATTAACCATTGGGTACAGTGCAAGGGGGGCTTCCCAGGTAGTACTAGTGGTAAAGAACCCACCTGGCAATGCAGGTTAGACCTAACAGATGCAGGTTCAATTCTTGGGTCAGGAAGATTTCCTGGAAGAGGGCACAACAACCCACTCCCACATTCTTGCCCGGAGAATGCCGTGGACAGAGAAGCCTGGCAGGCTACAGTCCACAGGGTCACACACAGACACGACTGAAGCGACTCAGCATGCACACATGGTGCAAGGGAGGTGTCAAGGCTAATCTCTGTTCACAGAGACACGCAGTTTTCTCTGAATGGTTTGTTCAAAGAACATTTCTTTCCATCCTGGGCTGCTTTGATGCCTTATTAAAAATCATATGACCATATATGTGTGGCTTTGTTTTAGGATTCTCTACTCTTTTTTATTGATTGGAAAAAAAAAAAGGAGACCAACAGGTAAAAACTTGCAAAAATCTTAACAGGTAATTAAACAAATTTTTTTTCTGTTGCTTCTCTGGTGGCCCAGTGGCTAAGACTCCACACTTGCAATGCAGGGGTGGGGGCCTGGGTTTGATCCCTGGTCAGGGAACTAGATTCCACTTGCCACATAGTTAAACAAGCATTTTAAAAATTTTTCTGAAAATTGAAATTTCCTTCAGAAAAATCAACACTAGTCAACATTTAAGATTTTAAAAAAATATACATTTTTTTAAATGTATTTTATTAAATGTAACATTAATTTTCTAGTTGAGCAGAAAAAAACTGATTTGCAGACTTTACACACGTTACTGAATTCAAAGGCAAATTAAACGCTTCTCTTTTTTATATTATTTTTTGTTGTTTCTGCTGTAGAGCAAAGTGAATCAGCTACACGTGTACATATATCCCCTCGTTTTTGAGTTCCTTCCCATTTAGTGAACTTTTTCTTTAACTCTTAAAATAAACTGTTCCTTTAACCTGGGAGTTGCTTTCTGGTTTCAAGGTTTTAACAATAAATTAGAAGCATTGCAGAATATAGGGGAAAGGGGGAAAAAACACACACATAAGTAGCTAGAAACACGGTAGAGTTTTCTTGATGCTCAAACTATGATTATTTAGAAAATATAACAAAGTGAGTGCCTGATAACATGATCATGTCATTCTTTTATTCTTGAGGCTTCCTATCACATTTAGGATAAAGTTCCAAACCTTTAGCTCGGCTGACTGTCAAAGTCCTATATTAGCTGGCTCTCTTCAATCTCATTAACTACTGTTCTTTTTCTTTGCTGTGTTCACACTGGCCTTCATGTGCAAATACTTTACCTTCTGAAAGTCTCTGCAGTTCCTGCTCTTGCCCAGAGCACTTGTCACTCAAGTTTTGCATGCCTGACCTCCTTTATTTCTTAAAAGCCTCTCACTCTTACTACCTGTAACCGTATTTCTCCAGAGAGGCTTTCCTCGGTCACCTCTTCTACTTAAAGTAACTCCCATTATTATCCTCTATCCATCAACTCTTGATTCCTTTTTCTTTCAAAGCTATTAACACCTAACAGGATGTATTTATTTGCTGTCTTACACAATTATAAATCCCATAAAGGCAGGGCTTTTATGTTTTGCTCACAGACCAAATTCAGCAAGAAGTGAATAAATGTTTGTTGAAAAATGAATCAACAAAATCAACATTAAGTGACTTCAGGAATAAAAGTTTAATGACTTACCAATACACCGATTTTGCATAAAATTCAATATTATCGGAAAAATCTCCAATTTCATCTTTGGCAATGCTTTCTAACCAATCTACCACCAGCTAGGGAAGGGGGTGAAAAAAGAGCATTAACTATAACTTTTGCTAAGGGTTTTATCTGAAGTAGTACTACTCCTACAATTAAAAAAAAGTTTCTAATTCAAAAAACACCAAGTAACAATTTTTTCTACCACTATTTTTACTTTTTAAAGATGTATAAATATTATGGCAAAATAAATTTTCTAGAAGAATAATACAGTTAACAGACTATTCCTGTAAATGCTAGGGTTATTATTTGAAAACTAAAAAACAAGGTGCTTACTTCCTTATAATTATAAATTAAAAGATGAAAAAGAAAAAAGTTTAAGGAAAAAGTTTCAAACCTAAAAAACTTCATTTTTTAAATGTCATTTACCTTTTCTCCATATTTCAACCCCAAAATGTGAAAACTCTAGTCATACCTGACTTTGTCGGACAAGTGAATCTCTCTGAAACAATGCTTCCACAACTGCTTTTTCACTGGCATTAAGAGCCTATTTAAAAAAATTGATGGAAAGAAAGAAAAGAAGATACTCAAGGAACATTATCTCAACAGAATGGTAAAAGAGAATTTGAAATAAGTATATTTCATCACCCATAACTATTTTAAGACAGCAAATCTGTATATCCACCTTTGAAAATTTTTTATAAATAAATTTCAAACTGCTAGATCAATGAGCAGCTACTCTTACTTGATATTTTAATTCTTGGTTACACTTAAAATTTTTAAGTTCTATTTCTCCAGAGATGTTGTTTTGGAGAACAATAAAATATAAAGCAAAATGAAACAATTCATAATAAAGGGCAGGATGCAGTCATGAGGCATATTAGGAAATTAACATTAAAAAATTTTTAAATCTTTTCATTCTACACAGAAGTTGACAGATGATAAAACTTAAGAACAATCCAAGGTTCTAAAGACTGACTTAGACAACTTGACATAAATATTAACAAGTTATATCAAGCAATACAGTACAAGGATAACACACAATGACCAAATCTATTAATTAATTCATCTTATTCATGGTTCAAGGAAAAGAGAAACACATGAATCTTGCGAACATGTATGTGTGCTCAGCCGTGTCCAACTGTTTGTGACACCATGGATAGTAACCCTCCAGGCTCCTGTCCATGGGATTTTCCAGGCAAGAATCCTGGAGTCAGTAGACATTCCCTTCTCCAGGAGATCTTGATAGATGTCAAAATGTCATTTGATAAAAATACCCTCATAAATTAGAAATAAAAGAATATTTTGCCAATGTAATGGACTATCTATTAATAGTTGAAGCCTAGAGCAAATATACTTAACTATAAAGAAAGATACTCCTTTTAGAAGATGGAAAAATAAGAATTGCTGTAATTATTCAAATTTACTGTGAAAGTTCTAGCTAATATATAAAACCAGAAAAAGCACTAAGTAGTTAAAAATATGGAAAAAGAGTCACAGTCATCACTATTTGTAGATTAACAGGAATGCCTACCTAGAATACCATGATAATCAACAAAAATCTATTAAAACGTATAAATGAGTTCAATAAATAGCCAAATATAAGATAAATAATCTTCCAAGATGTGCATCTTATTGGCTGGGAATGAAATAAGTATTTGTAGAATAAATAAAAGATTGAAAAAATATTCTGAAATATCTTAAGTGAAAACGTAAGTTAACAAACATGGTTGAAATCATTTATTATAAAATAAAAGTATCTTTTCTTCTTTTTTTTCTTTTCTTCTTTTTTGACTATTCATAGTTGCTTTAAACATAGGTTACTTTTTGTAATGAGAACGCAAAAACAATTAAACCCTAAAAGAGCACCTGGTCTTTATGGTTTTAAAGGCATATTTTTACCAAGGATTCAAAGAACAGGTTAATTACTATAATATTCAAACGAAGCACACGCACGCACGCGCGCACACACACACACACACACACACACAAAGATGAAGATGTGCAGAGCTGGCACAATTCTAGGCACTAGAACTAGATAAGAAAAAGTCACTGAAAAGGAAAATATATTTGGGAAACTTCCAAAAAAAATTAGCTAATAAAATTTAGTGGCATATTTAAGAATATATCATGACTCAAAGTTTATTCTGTTTGAGGATAGTTGAACATTAGGAGAACTATTAATGCAAACCATTATGCTAATAAATTAAAACAGTTATCTATAGGACTTCCCTGGCGGTCCAGTAGTTAAGAATCCACCTGCCAATGCAAGGGACATAGGTTTGATCCCTGGTCTGGGAAGATTCCACACGCCACGGAAAACTAAGCCCATGAACTTTAGAGACCATGTGCTGCAACTAGAGAAAACCCAGTGCAGCCAGAAATAAAATAAATTTAAAACAGGTATCTACAGAAGATAAAAAGCATTTGACTGCAACTCTTAGCAAGTTAGGAGAAAAAAAATTCTTATTCTTCACTAAAAACAAAATCATTCTTATCAAAAGTCAAGTACAAGAAAGGAATACCTGCTATCACTGATATAACTGTATGGGAGTTCTTAGTCCATGATATTAGGCAAGGGAGTTCTTAGTTCATGATATAAGGCAAGTAAGAGGAACGACAGACTATGGACTTCCTTGGTGGTACAGGGGATAGGAAGCTTCCTGAGAATGCAGGGGACATGGGTTTGATCCCTGGTCCAGGAAGATTCCACATGCTGTGGAGCAACAAGCCCATGTACCACAACTATTAAGCTTGAGTGCTAGAGCTCCCAGGCTGCAACCACTGAGCCTGTGTGCCCCAACTACTGAAGCCCACTCGCCCACAGCCCGTGCTCCACAACAAAAGAAGCCATAGCAATGAGAAGCCCAGGCAATGCAACCAAGAGTAGCCCTCGCTCGCTGCAACCAGAGAAAGCCCACGCAAGAAAGGAAGACCCAGCACAGTCAAACAGAATTAAAAAATAAAAATAAAGAGTAACACGTTCCTGAAAAATATAACAGAGTAGAAGGGTTAAAAGCAATTATCAGTAGATGATTTCTGCCAACAGGGAAAACCCAATAAAATCACAATTAAAATTTACTGGAGCTAATGAGAGGTCCAAAAGATGGTCAAATATGAGCTTTACATGTAAACCATGATTTGGCAGTGATAATTAATTAGAAAATGTAATAGGAAAGGAACATTCTCAACAGGATTAATGTAAATCCTTTATAAATGACTTTTATGAAGAGGACAAATCTATATAATCTATAAAAGATCTAAATAATTAGAGATGACATATTCATGAATACGAAAATACAACATTGTAAAGATGTCAGGTCTTCCCAAATTAATATACAGATTCAGTATTATTTCAATAAATTTCCCAAAAGGACTTTTAAAAAAGGAAATGATAAAGTTTATCTGGGAAAACGTATGCAAAAATAACCCCCAAATGTTTTTTAAAATGAAGAGAAGACTTACCCTACAAAATATCAAAACTCCTGAGCTAGAGTGACTCAGTTGTGTAGTACTGGTTTTCAAATAAAGCAATCAAAACAAAAAAGATCTATGTATAAATATGATAGGGCTTCCCTGGAAGCTCAGCTGGTGAAGAATCCACCTGTAACGCAGGAGACCCCAGTTCGATTCCTGGGTCGGGAAGATCCACAGGAGAAGGTACAGGCTCTCCACTCCAGTATTCCTGGGCTTCCCTGGTGGCTCAGCTGGTAAAGAATCTGCCTGCAAAGCAGGGGATCTGGGTTTGATCTGGGATTGGGAACATCTTCTGGAGAAGGGAACAGCTACCCACTCCAGTATTGTAGCCTAGAGAATTCCATAGACTGTACAGACCATGGGGTCACAAAGAGTCAGACATGAATGAGCGACTTTCACTTTCATAAATATGATAAAGGATGTCAGGATAAATGGACAGCCATTGGGGAAAAGATAAATCTCTTGCTCCCTTCACAAACAATCCAGATAAATTAACTTATTGTATAAGAAAAAAAACCTACATGCAGAAGAAAACATTGAGAATAATTCCACATGGGTAAAAAAGGCCTTCCTTAATAAATGATAAAGGAAATGATAAAGGAATGATAAAGGAAAGCATGACGGATGTTGATTAGTTAAAGATGGAAACGCCTGCTTGACAAAGACCCCTGAAACAAAGCTGCAAGACAAGTGACATAAAGACAATCTTTACCATGTTGAGGAAAGAAAAAGAAAATAATGAACAGACAAGTGAGCAAAGAATAGAATTCATACAATATAAATACTTAAGAATGAAAACACTCCATCTTATTAACGATTAATGATGTGCATATTAAAATGAGGTACTCCCCTCCAACTGGCAAAATCTAATGACTGCTAGCTGAGCAAACATTTTCTCGTACTATGACCGTGTGAACTAGTACATTTCATCAGGAAGCCAGCACGACAATCTCTCAAACTCTGTCCCAACGATTTCACTTCCAGAAATACAGGAGATCCTCGAATATGTAGGTAAGTGTGAATGTTCAATGCATTAATTACTATAATAAAAACACTGCGAACAATTCAAGTATGTCCAGCAGAATGTCTGAAAAAAATTATGGTACATTTATACTTTACTATGAAAATATAAGGTAACCTTATATGAATTGACATGGAAAAAACTAAAAAATATTGATGAATAATAAAAACTCTCAGTGGACTTTCCTGGGGGATGAGAATCTGCCCGCCAATGCAGGGAACACAGGTTGAACCCAGGAAGATTTCACATGCCACAGAGAAACTAAGACCCTGAGCTGCCACTACAAGCCTGCGGACTACAACTATTGAAGCCCATGCACTCAGAACCTGCGGGTCTCAACAAGAAAAGTGACCACAGTGAGAAGCCTGCTCACCGAAACTAGAGAGCCCGCAAAGAGCAATGAAGACCCAGGGCAGCGAAAAATATAATAAATTTTTCTAAAAAAATTAAAATTAAAAAAATGAAAACTCTCAGTATAATGTATAAATGAGAGTATACTACATGGTAAAAAAGAAAAAAAAAAAAGAGAACCCCCCCTCTCCCCACCCAAACTATCCCTGCCAAACGAAAGCCAGGGAGACTAGACAAAAGTTACTGCCATAATTCCTAAGAAAAATGATGGAAGTTTTGGCTTAAGTGGTGGCAACAGAAACAAGATGAGAGATCAGAATTGCAACAGGAGACAGAGTCAGCAAAGTCTGATACACAATGTGCTGTTGCTTCTGAGACGAGGCAGAGACCAGTCTGGACCCTGGCTACTCAAAGTGCAGTTTACAGACCAACTACACTAGCACCATCTGGGAGCTTGTTAAAAATGCAGACTCGCAGACCTATCCCAGACCTACCTAGTCAGAATCTGCACGTTAACAAGATCCCCAGGTGACTGATGTGCATAACAAAGTTTGATAAGTGCTGGCTTAGGGAATGTTCATTGGTCATGGTGCTACCCACTGAAAAACAAGAGTGGGTTTGACTTTTGACAGGTTGGACTTACGGTACTTGAAAATTATTTTGCTTTAAAAGAAAAAAAGAAATACATTTGACCCTGGAACAACGGAAGGGTTAGTCAGGGTTACGAGCCTCCTTGTACTCGAAAATCCAAATATAATTTTACAGTTGGTTCTCTATACTGCCGGTTCCTTTGTATTGGAAGTTCTGCACCTGAGAATTCAACCCACTGCAGATGGTGTAATACTGTATAGTATGGGTTTAGCGGGAAAAAAAAAATGTGCACATTCAGTAGACTCATGTTGTTTAAGAGCAATGTAGAAGGTGCTGACTTCTGAAGGGGGGCGAAGTGGCTAGGTTCCCACGGGTCTGCTGGGAGGTGAAGAAAACTACGAGAAGACGATATACAGAATGAGAGAGTCAGCTGACTCATTCCCTTCGAGCTCTATCTTCTCTCTGCTTGGAGGCTCTAGGAGAGGACAAAATACATTCAGCACTGCAGACAAGTCTGCATAATTTAGCAACGTGCCTAATACCTGGCGTGCTGCAGTCCATGAGGGTGCAAAGAGTTGGACACGACTTGGCAACTGAACAACAACGAATACCTTTACTAGGGACCAAGTCACTGCAACACCCTACCCAAACTGCACTAAAAAAAAGCTTCTGCTGAATGGCCTAAGGGACAACTCCTTCAAATTTCCTTGAAATTCAATGTTTCAAGTTCAGTGAAACAAACCCTTCACTGTCTTAGAGGGTCCTTTGTCTGAAGGAAGGCATTTTTAGAACACTGTGATTGCTCTTTCCAAGGTTTAACTAAATATTCAAAATGACATTCTCAACTTGATCTTAAAAAACACCCATAAAACTTCTGTGTATATATATGTATAAAGATGCAAAGAAAATGTCTGGTAGGATACATACTAAATTGTTAGACTGAACAGTACGAAGGCTAAAAGAGAACTTACACCTTTCACTCTACAGTGTACATCAGTTTTGCTTACTGTACCTTTTATTTACATGTAAAATTTTTAAAATGGAGAAACTCTAGATGGAGGGTCAAAAATCAAGTTCTACTATTAAAACCATTTAAATTTTTAAGCATTTATAAAGGAAAAAACAACATAAAACTTACAGTAATTGCAAACATACTTTCATCTTCTAATGCAGACTGTATTCGGTCTCTGGGGAAAAACAACACAAAATGAAAAACCTTATTTCACAAGGGTAAATGAAATCACCATTAAGCTAATATGTGCACAAACCTGCATTCCATCTGGGGTAACTCAGCCAACATGCTTTCAAAACAAGAATCAAGTAGTAAATGCCTTCTGACTCTAATATTGACAAAAATCAGGTCAGTTCGGTCGCTCAGTTGTGTCCGACTCTTTGGGACCCCATGAACCGCAGCATGCCAGGCGTCCCTGTCCATCACCAACTCCTGGAGTCCACCCAAACCCACGTCCATCAAGTCGGTGATGCCATCCAGCCATCTCATCCTCTGTTGTCCCCTTCTCCTCCTGCCCCCAATCTTTCCTAGCATCAGGGTCTTCTCAAATGAGTCAGCTCTTCGCATCAGGTGGCCAAAGTATTGAAGCTTCACCTTCAAAATCAGTCCTTCCAATGAACACCCAGGACTGAGCTCCTTTAGGATGGACTGGATGGATCTCCTTGCAGTCCAAGGGACTCTCAAGAGTTTTCTCCAACACCACAGTTCAAAAGCATCAATTCTTTGGCACTCAGCTTTCTTTATAGTCTAGCTCTCACATTTATACATGACCACTGGAAAAACCACAGCCTTGACTAGATGGACGTTTGTTGGAAAAGTAATATCTCTGCTTTTTAATATGCTGTCTAGGTTGGTCATAACTTTCCTTCCAAGGAGTAAGCGTTTTTTAATTTCATGCCTGCAATCACCATCTACAGTGATTTTGGAGCCCAGAAAAATAAAGTCAGCCACTGCTTCCACCATTTCCCCATCTATTTGCCATGAAGTGATGGGATCAGATGCCAGGATGTTAGTTTTCTGAATGTTGAGCTTTAAGTCAACTTTTTCACTCTCCTCTTTCACTTTCATCAAGAGGCTCTTCAGTTCTTCACTTTCTGCCATAAGGGTGGTGTCATCTGCATATCTGAGGTTATTGATATTTCTCCCGGCAATCTTGATTCCAGCTAGCGCTTCCTCCAGCCCAGCATTTCGCATGATGTACTCTGCATATAAGTTAAATAAGCAAGGTGACAATATACAGCCTTAATGTATTCCTTTGCCTATTTGGAACCAGTCTGCTATTCCATGTCCAGTTCTAACTGTTGCTTCCTGATCTGCATACAGGTTTCTCACGAGGCAGGTCGGGTGGTCTGGTATTCCCATCTCTTTCAGAATTTTCCACAGTTTATTGTGATCCACACAGTCAAAGGCTTTGGCATAGTCAATAAAGCAGAAATAGATGTTTCTCTGGAACTCTCTTGCTTTTTTGATGATCCAGCGGATGCTGCCAATTTGATCTCTGGTTCCTCTGCCTTTTCTAAAACCAGCTTGAACATCTGGAAGTTCAAGGTTCACGTATTGCTGAAGCCTGGCTTGGAGAATTTTAAGCATTACTTTACTAGAGTATGAGATGAGTGCAATTGTATGGTAGTTCGAGCATTCTTTGGCATTGCCTTTCTTTGGGATTGGAATGAACACTGACCCCTTCCAGTCCTGTGGCCACTGCTGAGCTTTCCAAATTTGCTAGCATATTGCATGCAGCACTTTCACAGTATCACCTTTCATGATTTGAAATAGCTTAACTGGAATTTCATCACCTCCACTAGCTTTGTTCGTAGTGATACTTCCTAAGGCCCACTTGACTTCACATTCCAGGATGTCTGGCTCTAGGTGAGTGATCACACCATCGTGATTATCTGGGTCATGAAGTTATTTTTTTGTACAGTTCTTCTGTATATTCTTGCACACCTCTTCTTAATATCTTCTGCTTCTGCTAGGTCCCTACCATTTCTGTCCTTTATGGAGCCCATCTTTGCATGAAATGTTCCCTTGGTATCTCTAATTTTCTTGAAGAGATCTTGAGTCTTTCCCATTCTATTGTTTTCCTCTATTTCTTTGCACTGATCGCTGAGGAAGGCTTTCTTTTCTCTCCTTACTATTCTTTGGAACTCTGCATTCAAATGGGAATGTCTTTCCTTTTCTCCTTTGCTTTCTGCTTCCCTTCTTTACACAGTTATCTCTAAGGCTTCCTCAGATAGCCACTTGGCTTTTTTGCATTTCTTTTTCTTGGAGATAGTCTTGATTCCTGTCTCTTGTACAGTGTCACGAATCTCCAACCATAGTTCATCAGGCTCTCTGTCTGTCAGATCTAGTCCCTTAAATCTATTTCTCACTTCCACTGTATAGTCATAAGGGATTTGATTTAGGTCATACCTGAATGGGCTAGTGGTTTTCTCCACTTTGTGGAGATTTTCTCCACATTTACTGACAAGAATAGTATTTACTAAAAATAAACACAATACAAAATCTTTGATGGCCACCTGCTAATGCATAAACTTAACTTTTCAATGTAATGTTTTCACACGGATAAAATGAAAAAATACGATTTTCTCTTGAAGTATTCTCACTGGGATGAGAAAGCAACAGAATGAGAGCCAAAACCAAGGAGCATCTAAGAAAAATTTGGTTAAACTTCTTTCAGACTTCTACATTACATAAAGTATATCCGTCACTTTTCCCCTTAATCTGTCTTCTAAATATTGCTGAGTTTTTAACACTTTCCTTAAATATTTCCAAATATCCAATTTTTGGCAGTTACCAAATTTATGATTTAATATTCCCCTCTCTCCTCCTAACTTACCTCTGACTGCTAAAGGCATTAGACATGATAAGCATCATAAAATGGCAGAACCTATTTCCAAACACACCTCATTCTAACTTCTAGGTTAACAGCCAGTTTATTTCTGAGTCCTACACAACTTTACCTATACAAAGAAGCCAGCAGCCTCCATGTGACCATCTCCTGTTGAAGAAGCCAGAGCATGCTGGCTGTTTTTGAAAACTTCTGAAGTCCAGGTGTTGCTCGGCTCACTATTTTATTCAGTATATTTACCTGAATTAAAGACACAAATGTAAAGAGGTTCTCTGTAACTCTGAGTCACAACTTTGTATTTTTCAAGTACATAGTGCCAAAGTACATATTTACATTACCAATCTTTCCGGTCTACTGCCTTTTTTAATTAAATGTAACATAACATTCCTAATAGAAAGGGCCTTAATTTGAAGTAAGGTGTGTCTAGGTGAGTGTGTATGTAAAAGTTTAACATACTTGAGATTTCAGATTCAACAGTAACAGCCATGAGTACATTTTTCTCCCTGTAGATCAACTAGAAGATAGCTAAATCTAACCTATGCCTGGTAAAATCATATATCATGAACCAATACAGCAGAATGAACATTAAAAATAAGATACTTTCAAATAATCTGAAAAATTTATACTATATAAAAAAAAATTAAGAAATATTCTCCAACTGGTACCAGTCTTTTCCTAAGACTGGTACAAAAACATTGCCTTATTTTTTTTTGTCAAAACTTAACCAAAATCCCTCCTTGCTGTAAAACAGCAGTTCTTTACCACCTGAGGACTTTCTATGAAAGTCTAATGAAACATACAGATATTCTCCACAAACACACACCAAATCACTTAACAGATTTAAGAACCCAGGGTAAAGGAAACTTTTCTCAAAGGTTGTGAATATCACCTTTTATCAAGGGAAATTAAGAAACAGGATTGGTCTCATTCAGAAAATGAAGAAAAACCACCGAAACAACAGGTTTCCCCACCTCTAAACACGGATTCACAAAGTAATGTTGCTTCTGTATTAAGGTCAGTGTTTAAAAAAGGTACTACCTGTACTTCTCAGTCCTCTAATAAATCCTCTATTGGAACCCAAAATCCAGTGATTCACTAGGTGATTATTATTGCTTTTGTTATGTAACGAAGCTATTGATTTTATAATGGAACAATTCAGAAACTCGTTATTGAAATAACATTCAGTTCAGTTCAGTAACTCAGTCTCGTCTGACTCTTTGCGACTCCAAGGACTGCAACACGCCAGGCCTTTACTCAAACTCAGGTCCGTTGAGTCGGTGATGCCATCCAACCATCTCATCCTGTCATCTCCTCCTCCTCCTGCCTTCAATCTTTCCCAGCATCAGGGTCTTTTCAAATGAGTCAACACTTTGCATCAGAGTTTCAAATTCAACATCTGTCCTTCCAAGGAACACCCAGGACTGATCTCCTTTAGGATGGACTGTTGGATCTCCTTGCAGTCCAAGGGACTCTCAAGAGTCTTCTCCAACACCACAGTTCAAAAGCATCAATTCTTCAGCACTCAGCTTTCTTTATAGTCCAACTCTCACATCCATACATGACCACTAGAAAAACCATGGCATTGACTAGACGGACCTTTGTTGGCAAAGTAATGTCTCTGCTTTTTAATATGCTGTCTAGGTTGGTCAGTTTTTCTTCCAAGGAGTAAGGTCTTTTAATTTCATGGCTGCAATCACCATCTGCACTGATTTTGGAGCCCCCAAAATTAAAGTCTCCCACTGTTTCCCCATCTATTTGCCATGAAGCAATGGGACCAGATGCCATGATCTAACTCTTCTGAATGTTGAGCTTTAAGCCAACTTTTTCAATCTCCTCTTTCACTTTCATCAAGAGGCTCTTATAGTTCTTCTTCACTTTCTCCCATAAGGGTGGTGTCATCTGCATATCTGAGGTTATTAATATTTCTCCCAGCAATCTTGATTTCAGCTTGTGCTTCCTCCAGCCCAGTGTTTCTCATGATGTACTCTGCAGATAAGTTAAATAAGCAGGGTGACAATATACAGCCTTGACATATTCCTTTTCCTATTTGGAACCAGTCTGTTGTTCCATGTCCAGTTCTAACTGTTGCTTCCTGACCTGCATAGAGATTTCTCAAGAGGCAGGTCAGGTGGTCTGGTATTCCCATCTCTTGAAGAATTTTCCAGTTTGTTGTGATCCACACAGTCAAAGGCTTTGGCATAGTCAATAAAGCAGATATAGATGTTTTTCTGGAACTCTTGCTTTTTTGATGATCCAGCGGATGTTGGTAATTTGATCTCTGGTTCCTGTCTTTTCTAAAACCAGCTTGAACATTTGAAGTTCACAGTTCACAAACTGCTGAAGCCTGGCTTGGAGAATTTTGAGCAGTATTTTGCTAGTGTGTGAGATGACTACAATTGTGCAGTAGTTTGAGCATTCTTTGGCATTTCCTTTCTTTGGGATTGGAATGAATACTGACCCCTTCCAGTCCTGTGGCCATTGCTGAGTTTTCCAGATTTGCTAGCATATTGACAGCAGCACTTTCACAGCATCATCTTTTAGGATTTGAAATAGCTCAACTGGAATTCCATCACTGCCACTAGCTTTGGTCATAGTGATGTTTCCTAAGGCCCACTTGACTTCACATTCCAGGATGTCTGACTCTAGATGAGTGATCACACCTTTGTGATTATTTGGGTCATGAAGATCTTTTCTTCTGTGTATTCTTGCCACCTCGTGTTAATATCTTCTGCTTCTGTTAGGTCCATACCCTTCTGTCCTTTATTGTGCTCATCTTTGCATGAAATGTTCCTTTGGTATCTCTAATTTTTTTGAAGCGATCTCGAGTCTTTCCCATTCTATTGTTTTCCTCTATTTCTTTGCAGTGATCACTGAGGAAGGCTTTCTTATCTCTCCTTGGTATTTTTTGGAACTCCACTTTGGAACCTATTCAATGGGTATATTTTTCCTTTTCTCCTTTGCTTTTGGCTTCTCTTCTTTTCATAGCTATTTGTAAGGCCTCCTCAGACAGCCATTTTGCCTTTTTGCATTTTTCTTGGAGATGGTCTTGATCCCTGTCTCCTATACAATGTCACAAACCTCTGTCCATAGTTCATCAGGCACTCTGTCAATCAGATCTAGTCCCTTAAATCTATTTCTCGCTTCCAATGTATAATCGTAAGGGACTTGATTCAGGTCATATCTGAATGGTCTAGCGGTTTTCCCTACTTACCTCAATTTAAGTCTGAATTTGGCAATAATGAGTTCATGATCTGAGCCACAGTCAGCTCCCGGTCTTGTCTTTACTGATTGTATATACCTTCTCCATCTTTGGCTGCAAAGAATATAATCAATCTGATTTCACTGTTGATCATGTGGTGATGTCCATGGTGGTGTAGAGTCTTCTCTTGGGTTGTTGGAAAGAGGGTGTTTGCTATGACCAGTGCATTCTCTTGGCAAAACTCTATTAGCCTTTGCCCTGCTTCATTCTGTACTGCAAGACCAAATTTGCCTGTTACTCCAGGTGTTTCTTGATTTAAATGCTCAAAAAAGGTTGGCTATTACCATTATTTGAATTATTCTTGAAGCTGTTTTCCTTTTCTTTAAAATAGACAACGTTTTGTGCAGTTATAGATTCACAGCAAACTGAATAAAGTACCGCGACTCCTCACTGCTTTCTGCCCCATATACACCCACGCTAACCCCCGACTATCAATATCCAGCACCTAAGTGGTACATCCGTTACAATCAATAAAACTCCACTGACATGTCATCATTACCCAACGTGCATAACTCACAGAAGGGTTCGCTCTTGGTGCTGTACATCCTACGGGTTTGAGAAGCGTGTAATGATGTACCCACCATATACATCATTATAATGCGCCCAGTCTCATATGACTCTCTGCAACCCACTGGACTGTAGCCCACCAGGCTCCTCCGCCCCTGGAATTTTCCAGGCAAGAATACTGGAATGGGTTACCATCTCCTACCTATCCTACTCCTACTCATTAAATATCACTCCCCTAAAAATCTACTGTGCTTCACTTTCTATCCTTCTCTCTCCCTGAACTCCAGCAACTGCCGATCTTTCTATTCTCTTTAAGTTCTCCCGTTCCCAGAATATCATACAGTTGGAATCATGCCACACTTTCCTTTGCATAGCGGCTTCTTTCACTTAGAAATATACATTCAGGGTCCATCCTCGACTCTTTACGGCTTGATAGCTCATTACTTTCAAGGGCTGAGTAAGATTCCACAGACTGGATGAACCACAGTTGATTTACCCATTCTCATACTAAAGGACATCTTGATTGCTTCCAAATTCAGGTTACTATGAATAAAGCTGCTATAAACATCTATGTGTAAGCTTTTATGTGGACATAAATTTTTTAATCTTTGGGGTAGATATCAAAGAGTATGAATGCTGGATTATATGGCAAGAGTATGTTTAGTTTTCTAAGAAACTGAGAGATTATGGTCCAAAGTGCTATCATTTTGCATTCCCAAAAATAATAAATGAGAATTCATGTTCCATATCTTTGTTAGCATTTGGTATTGTCAGTGTTTCAGATTTTGGTCATTCTAATAGGTATATAGTAGCATCTTGTTTTAATTTGCAACTCCCTAATGACACATGATGCGTTTTAAAAAATTTTTTTCAATCTTCACTTTATATTGGAGTGGAGCTGATTTACAATGTTGTGTTGATATTAAACATCTTTTCATATACTTATTTTCCATCTGCATATCTCCTCTGATGAGGTGTCTGTTTACATGTTTTGTCCATTTTTTAATTGGATTGTTCATTTTCTTACGGTTGAGTCTTAAGTTCTTTGTATACTTTCGGTTTTCCTTTCTCAAAGTTGCAGAATCCTTCTGTCCTTAAAAGAAATACTATAAAGACTCTCAATGTGTAAAAAGTAGATCTGCTCTGGCTGACTTTCTAACTATTCCATGCCTGCTGCTACATCTCTAAGACATCCTCCTTAAATACAGGAAGGAAATTCACAAGCTAATGTTGTTCAGAAAAACCTTGATTACTGAAGTCTGACCAACAATGAAGTGAAGTAACTTACCTGACTACTACAGATGTTCTCATACTCTTCTACAAGGTCAAAAACAGTAGTTGAAGAGTGCTTCAAAAAAGACTGCAGGAAATCAGAAAACATACTCATGGATGCTAGAACACAATAAACAGAAGAGAAACAGACAAATTAAGTCTCATATTTCCAAGTCATTCTGTTTGTTTGAAAACGTACAACCTAACTCTAAATCTTTTTTTGAAACTACTGTGTTTTTGAAAGTACATAATTGTGGTAAAATACACGTAACCAAATTTATCATTTTAACCATTTTTAAGCATTCAGTGGCAGAAAGTACATTCACAGAGCTGGGCCACCATAACCACCATCCAACCACAGAACTCTTTGCAGAGAGTTTAGGTTTTTGCAAACCTAAAACCCTGGAGAGCCAAGGCAATCCTGAGAAAGAACAAAGCTGGAGGCATCACACTTCCTGATTTCACACTATACAACAAAGGCTAGTATTCAAAACAGTACTGGCATAAAATCAGACACACAAATCAATGGAACAGAATATAGAGAATCCAGAAGTAAACTCCTACATATATAGTCAAGAAATATTTGACAAGGGAACCATGAGTACTGAATGGAGAAAGGGTAGTTTCTTTAATAAACAGTGCCAAGGAAACTGGAAAATCACATGCAGAAAACCAAAACTGGATCCCTATCTTACACAACTCATAAAAGTGAACTTGAAATGGATTAAAGACTTAAATGATGACTTTCCTGGTGGTCAAGTGGTTAAGAATCTGCCTGCCAATGAAGGGGATAGGGATTCAATTCCTGGCCTGGGAAGAATCCACATGCCTCGGGGCAACTAAGCCTGTGCATCACAGCTACCAAGTCTGCACTCTGAAGGCCATGTGCTGCAACGATTGAGCCCTTCGGTCCGAGAACCCATGCTCTGCAACAAACAAAGCCATCGAAATGAGAAGCCCATGCATCGCAACTAGAGTGCAGTCCCAGCTTCCCACAAGTAGAGGAAGCCCATGAGCAGCAACGAAGACCAAGCACAGCCAAAACTTGGAGGAAAAAAGAAAGACATGAAACCTAAAACTGTATAACGCTTAGAAAAAAATATAGGGAAAAAGCTTCTTGACACCTGTCTTGAGAATAATTTTTGGATATGACACCAAAAGCACAAGCAACAAAAGAAAAAATCAACAAGTGGGACTATATCAACTAAAAAGCTCTATATCAACAGCAGAAGATACAATCAACAAAATGAAATGGCAACCTATGGAATGAGAGAAAATATTTGCAAACCTTATGTCTCATAAAAAGTTAATCTTCAAAATATAAGAAGAATTCATAAAACTCAAAACCAAGTACAATTTAAAAATAGGCAGAGGACTGAACCGACATTTCTCCAAAGATGACATACAAATGGCTAACACGTACATGAAAAGATGCTCAACATCACTAATCAGCAGGGAAATACAAATCAAAACCACAGTGAGGTATCACCACACATCTATAAGAACTATCATCAATCAATAAGACAAGAAATGGCAAGTGTTGGTGAAGATGCAGAGAAAAGGGAACATTTGTGCACTACTGGTGAGAATGTAAATGAGTTTAGCCACTAAACTCACTTCATACCTTCAGTATGAAGGTTTCTTAAAAAATTAAAAATAGAACTACCAAATGATCTAGCAATACCACTTCTGGGTATATATTCAAAAGAAATGAAAACAGGCTAACAAAAAGGTATCTGCAGGAACTGCCCTATAGATACAGTGGATGGGAATCTGCCTGCCAATGAAGGAGACACAGGTTGATCCCTTGTTTGGGAAGATTCCACATGTCATGGAGCAACTAAACCTGTGGGCCACAACTACTGAAGCCCATGTACCTAGAGCCTGTGTTCCACAACAAGAGAAGCCGTCACAATGAGAAGCCCGTGCACTGCAACGAACAGTAGTCCCAACTCCCTTAACCCAACTAGAGAAAGCCTGCACACAGCAATGAAGACCCAGTGCAACCAAAAATAATAAATAAAAAGAAAAGGCAGCTGTACTCTCATTCTCACCGTGGCATTGTTCACCACAGCCAGGAGAGGGAAAAAACCCAAGTGTCCACCACCAGATAAACAGATAGAAAAGTGGGGTGTGTGTGTATACACACACACACATACACATACATATATATATGTATATATATACATATATATATAGGCCTGCCCTAGTACTCAGAGGTAAAGAATCTGCCTGCTGATGCAGGAAACGAGGGTTTGATCCCTGGTTCAGGAAGATCCCCTGGAGAAAGAAATGGCAACCCACTCCAGTATTCTTGCCTGGGAAATGGCACAAACAGAGGAGCCGGGTGGGCTACAGTCTATACGAGGTCACAAAAAGAGCTGGGCATGACTTAGCGACTAAACAACAACATATTAATACATATATAAACATACACACACAACCAGAATATTTTTCAACCATGAAAAAGTAATCTGCTATTTGCAACAGGATAGACCCTGGATAAACCCTGAAGGCATTAAGTAAAATAAATTTAACAACTAACCGAGAGACAAATACTGTACTGTATCACTCATGAGGAATCTAAAAAAGCTAAATAAACTCAAAGAACCAGAGCCTGGAACGGTGGTTTCCAGGGTCTGGAGAATAAGAGAATTGTGAGATGTTGGCTAAAGTACACAAACGTGGAGTGAGAAGATGAGTAAATTCTGAAAATCCAACGCACAGCATTGTTAGAGTCAATAAATCTGCACTACATAGTTCAAAGTTGCTAAGAGATGAGATCTTAAATGTTCTTATCACAGAAATGATAATTATATAATGGGAAAGCACCATGGAGGTGTTAGCTAACACTAATAATAGTATTACAATATGCAAGTGTATCAAAGCAATATGTCATACACTTTAAACTTACAGAATGTTATATCAATTTAAATAAAAAACAAAAACAAAAACCCCTAACACTGTAACTCTCCATTCTCCCCTGTTGCTACACCTTTGCAAACATTATTGCACTTTCTATGAGTCTGACTACCCTAGGTGTCTCATCTAAGTGAAATCATACAGTATTTGGTCCCTATGCTACTGGCTTATTTCATCAAGCATAAAGTCCTCAAAGTTCATTCATGTTGTAGCATGTGTCTAAATTATATCCCACTAAAAAGTTATTAATCATATTTTAATCCTTTATCCATCAATGGGATTTGGGTTCCTTCTATCTTTTGTTCACAGGGCTATGAACAAGGAAATACAAATCTCTTTAAAATATGGTTTTCACTTCTTTTGGAATATACCCAGAGGTAGAACTAAATCATAAGGTAATTCTATTTTTAATTTTTTGAGGAACGACCATATTGTTTGCCACAGTGCTGCACCATTTCACATTCCCACCAACAACATATAAGAGTTCCAATTTTCCCATATCCTTGCCAACATTTACCATTTCCAGTTTATTTGGGGATTTTTTTATTTTTGATAGTAGCCATCTTAATGGGTGTGAGATGCTACCTCATTGTGGTTTTGATTTGCATTTCCCTAATGATTACTACATCCATCCAGTGCTCAGTCGTGTCCGACTCTTTGTGACTCCCTGGACTACAGCCCACCAGGCTCCTCTGTCCATGGGATTTCCCGGGCAAGAATACTGGAGTGGTTGCCATTTCCTTCTCCAGGGCACCTTCCTGACCAGGGACTGCATCTCCATCTCCTGCACTGCAGGGGGATTCTTTACCACTTGAGCTACACTGAGCAAATTTTCATGCGCATAATAGCTACTTTTGTATTTTCTTTGGAGAAATATCTATACACGTTCTCTATCCACTTTTTAGTTGGGACTGTCTTCTGCTACTGTTTGAGTTGTAGTTCTTTTTATATTTGGAATTTTAATTTTTTTGAGATATTTGACTTGCAGATATATTCTCACATTCTGCGGCTTTTTGATTCTATTGACTGCATTTTCTGACCCATATTTTGATGTAGTCCAATTTATCTATTTAGTCTTCTGTCACCTACAAGTCTTTTAAGATTCCAAAGATATATTAGTTCTTAGTCTGTCAACAATTACTACAAAAACATGAGCCACATTTTAAAACACCTGAATTACATTTTAAGTACACCATAACAAAGTAACTGGGAAAGTTGTAGCAGGTTCTAAAATGACATGCTTTATGCAGGGGAAATATATACACCCTACTATAATACTGTATAATATCTAAGGCCTCAGCCATGGTTCATACTAAACAGGAAATTCTTATATTTTATATATTAAGTACAAAGCATTTTTGAGTTACTCAATATCTGAATGCTTATCACTGTCATATACTACAAAGCAGTGGTCACCACAGTGTTACAGAGAAGGGTGCTGAAATCAAACTGCTCAGTTTCAAATCCTGGTGTCATCACTTCCTAGCCAGGTGAGCTCAAACAGGTTACTTAATTTTTTTGAGCAGCTGTTCCCTTTCCATGAAAATGAAATCGTTATTGTATCTATTTAATGGACCATGAAATGAGTTAACGTGCATACAGTGGTAAGCATACTGACTAGCTTGTTAGTCTATGATGATAAATTAATGAAGAATCTATGTCATAATGTGCAGGTACAAGCACATTAAAAGCAAATGCTTTTTCCCAAAAGGGAATGGTAATAACCAGCCTAAAGTCAGAATGCTCACAATACTACTTGAAGAAACAGCATTAGCATTCAGGCCAAAATAAAATATGTCAACAATGTCAGATAAAAATTAAACAAAAAGAGAAGCTCTCTCAACAGCACAAGTTTGGAAAGAATAAAAGCATTAGTGACTAGTCTAATAACCTAAGAGGCAGCTATTTACACTGAAAAGATTAAATAGCAAGATGCTGCTCCAACTGAGAACAAAGGTGAGGTTCTCAACTTTCTACTTTTTTTTTTACTACTGGGTTGGCCAAAAATTCCACTGAAAAACCCAAACAGACTTTCGGCTAACCCATTATCATCAAGTGGCAGAGCCATTACCGTAACTAATAAGCATAACAAAAAATATTTTTTAATATTCCGGAATATGAGATAATTTCCTTGATTGATCTCAGTAAAATGACAAACTATTGCATTATAAACAAAGTCCAAAGCTATTTTACCAGCTTCTCCAGGATCATCCTCATGTAACATAACAGCACTGAGGGTCACATCCTCTGTTACACTGTGGGGCTCTGCGTTTGTGAACAGCCCAGCACGCTGTGATGAGAAAGCAGTGGCCCAGTTACTGTCATCCAGGTTAGTCACCTAAAGATAAAAGAGATATAGAAAAGTAATGTGGTTATTGCCATTGAGTGAATAAAGACTTCAGTACTATTAACATTTTTTTTTTTAAATGTATGTGGTTTTCACTTTTACAACATAGCCACATGTGCTCGCTTCGGCAGCACATATACTAAAAAGATAGCCACATGACTATTTTGTTAAGGATATTATGGCTTTGTTTTCTTCTTTCCTACTCCATACCTTTTTGCTCTAGTGAAAGTGTTAATCACTCAGTTGTGTCCAGTTTTTCATGACCCCATAGACTGTAGCCCACCAGGCTCCTCTGTTCATGAATTTTACTGCTCTAGAACTACTTCAAATCAAAGTTTTAATTTTGGGAAATATTATGGTATAAATGACTCAGCTTCTTAAACAAATAAATGATAATTAAAAAAAAGGATGATTTAGAGAATTATAGATTTAAATACTTGGGACATACCAAGCAAATGCAATGTGTTAAAAAATCCAGGCATGAGCAACAATAAAAATGTACCTTTAAATTAGTCTCCCCAAGGGAAAATGCTAAAGATGGGTGCTGGAACCCTGTATATTCATGAGATAGTAACTATGGGCTGAGGAGAGTTTAGCTTCAGCTACCAAAAGACTGATTTCCTTCTGGGTACTCATCATCATTAGCACACAGATCAAACTGAAAATCTTACACAGTAGTGATATTCTACATTCACAAAAATGTTTTGTAGGTTGACACACGATAAAATCAACCAACGTAATAAATAACTGTACTTCCTTCAACCACCTCTCACAACTGATACTAAAATTGGCAAAACAAAATCAAGAAAACATTTCTGACTACAAAGTAATTTCCAAACATTCTGTAATAATCAATACATATTTACTCTATCCTGGCCTTTGGAAGAATAATAATTTTACTATTAAACTTGCAGTTCTGAAGCACTAAATAATAAAAGTCATCATCTTATGCTGAAACCTAGAAGCAGTCAATTCACTCATGTTTTTAAGTAGAATACGAATAAACGTTGCCAAAATAAACCAGCTTCATAGCCAGAGTAAAACTGTTCAATGACTAGATCACTGTTAGATACTAACACTCTAAAATATTTCAAAGATTGATTTAACCTTCTAAGACAAGGAGAGGTTTAATATGCAAAACCATTCCTTTGAAAACACATAATTTAGACAATTTCTGGTGTGTGTAAAACTGTTTTTTCAATAACCACAGAGCCAAATAAAGAGCCCTTTTCATCTTGTTCTTGGAACTAAATGAGCCATAATACTCTACTAGTCCAACAAAACTATTCTGTTTTAATCTTCTCAGTTAGACACAATTCTTTCTTTCTCTATAGGGTATTTTAAGTACCTAGGTCAGGTCATTCTGCATTTACAGTCTATATGACATTTCTTTTGCTATTTTAAATACTGTACCATAATGATTCCTACAGAGTGTCTAACTTACTTTTCCTCAAATTTTCTCTTTTCTCTCCTTTAATGCTTTGTTCTTCTTCCTTATGAGTCTTCATTGATTATTCTTGGCCTCCTCTTCTATGCTTCAAAACAGGGCTCAGTTTTTACAGAAGCTAGCAACCAATCAGAATTTATTTATTCTATTCAGTAAACTGTCAGATTAATACATTTTCTCTGCATCTAACTGCTGCTGGTGTCACAGTTTCCACCTATGATGTGAGATGCTTACGGGTCTCAGTTTTCTGGAAGTCTAACCAAAAAATGATTTCAACCTACATAACTGAGTTACTTTTACTAAGAATAAGACTTCAATTAAAGTTTTTAAGCTAAATATCATACCATAATTTAAAAAGGGAGAAAATTTCAGCCCCATTTTTCTACATACCATAGACAGATTTCCCAAGAACCCTGAAGACTGTGTAAGCCGGGGAGACTTCCCTCCAGTTCCAAGAATGCAGGATACATCTGGCTGCCTCAGTAGGCTCCGGCTTGGTGGAGTAACTACAAGCAAGAAGTTAGTAAAAAGAATTTGAAGCGCATGAGCATTGATCATGAAAATGAAACAAGCAAATAAAAACAAATAATTTTCACTTTTCAATTATTTAGGTTCTAACCAAATAAATACTTTCAATATTAACATTTCTATAGTATGAAGATTTAACTTATTTTTCTGAACATGAACTTTTGGTACTACTGAGCCCACCAAAAAAACTTTACTGCAAACAGAGATGCTTTCATTATAACATAACTGAACATAAAAAAAAAAAAAAGACACTCATGAGTTCATGAACTTATCAAATTCTAATTTTATAAAGCATATTATAGTATAGAGGACATGGGCTCTAAAGTAAGCAGATTATGATTTGAATTTTGAGCAAAGGATCCTAAGTCAGTTAAGGCACAGATCATCCCAACTGCCAAAATTCATATATACTTACATACTTATCTAGCTATTTTATCTGCATTAATCAACTTTTCTAGGTCTCATGTACAGTTTCAGCAAAATAGAGACAATATCTACTTCACAGCTATTACGCAATTATGTAAAGCCTTACACATGGTAAGAGTTCAACAAATAGTAAGTGCAATCCCTATTATTTGCTCTTAATTAAAAATAACTTATAAAAAATAATATATATTATAGTATTAGCTGCTATTACTGTTATCATTATTAAGTGCTTTAAAAGCAAAAAAAATCTTACAAGGTTGTCGAAATGAGCTGGGAGTTCGGGGCATAACCTGGTTTCTTGGAGTGGTATTAGGAAAAATTTCATCTTGGGATGCCCGAACTACAGGAAATGTTAAGGAAAGTTTTTCGTATAGAAAAAAACATCGTTAAAGTTAGAATGAACCATATTTATACTATACAAAATATGTGAATATGTTTTTCAAGGATAAGGTATTTTATAGCTACCATATTTTCTATGCAAGGAGTAAATAATTCCCTTTCCCCTTTAAATTCTAGTTATCAGTTACTACAGTCCTGAACTAAGAGCTCAAGTCTTAGGTTACCACAGACTGAACTAAGAGTTCTTAGATCTCAAATAATAAAGAAAATCTAATCTCAGCAAAAGTTAACCACAATATGATAGCAGTAAAAGGGAATATCCTTATTTTCAGGGAAATATGAATCTCACTGAATTTCAACATTATATTTGCCAAATAACACATCAGGAGAGTTAAAAAAAATTAATTTCCACAGTATTTTATTATTACAGCTAGTGTTTAAAATCGCTCATGAAAAGTCTGTAATGCTAATTCCAAACATGTTACAATTTTTATACTGATGCTTAAAATGCAAAGGATACTCAAAGCTCTTTTTTGGGCACTCTGCTTGCGCGCAGTCCGAGTCACCTCTGCCTCCCGGATCACAGGAGATGACATCTCTCCAAAGCCACTCCTAAAATGGCAATAATCAAATTCACGTGAATGAAATGAGAACGGACCATTTGCAAAACCTTTATCATTATGACTGGAGCAAAGGATCCTAAGTCAGTCAAGGCACAGATCATCCCAACTGCCAAGTCTTTGTTTTCTTGTTGCTAATACTTCTCTGGCTCCAAATCCAACTTATCGCTCAAAGTCCTGCTCAAATTTTACCTGCATAAAGTCTTCTCTGACTTGTTAATGTTTTCCTCCTCTGGAATTACTTTAACACTTGTAATCTAAATCTGTATTCCAACATTGCTTTAAATAATTGCTTCATGAAGATAACCCTTTCTTCATTGAATTGAGGAGGTTCCTAAAGTTGCAGGAACTCTTAAAATGATGTTCTGTAGTCTCCAAAATACTTCAAACCATGGATACTATTGTTTAAGATGGTGACTTGGGAGGCTAAGTAAAAAAGAAACCTAATACATTGGAAAGAAATGATCCTTCAAGCTTTTCTTCCCAGAGTACACTAAGGGTGTCTCCTGTCTCAGCACTATTATAGTCCCAGACATTCTCAGCCCAACGTCTAGAAAATAAATTGTGTGTATTATGAGACCTGTATCTTAAGACTCTAATGTGTATTTCCTCCACTTAAAATCTTCAGATAGATATCTCTGGCCTACAGAATCAAGTCCAAATTTCCTACCATGGTTTTTATAATCTTACCCCAGCTTACCAGTTCAGCCATAAACGTCACTTCCATACAAACACACACTGCATGTGACCGCTCAGCTACACTTTCACATCCTTACACCTCTGTATCCATGCTTCTTTTCAGAGGCCTACATTCACCTCTTTCGTCTATCTGGTGAATACTTACTCATCAAACAGCCTCCTGGAGTCTAGAAACACAAATCCAGGTTGGCAACTTGTTTCTTAGCTTCCTTTGTTAGCTTCCTAACAGATCAAGCTCCTTAACCTCTTTTAGCCTCAATGTTATGTGTGAAAAGAGGATCACAGTAGCTACCCTCATAGGACTGTTAGAAGGATTAAAATAGTTAATATACCATCACAAATGCTTCCACACACACACACACAAATCCGCCGGCAAAGTAGGAGACGCGAGTTCGATCTCTGGGTTGGGACGATCCTCTGGAGGAGGGCATGGCAACCCACTCCAGTATTCTTGCATGGAGAATCCCATGGACAGAGCAGCCTGGCCAGCTGCAGTTCACGAAGTCGTAAAAATCGGACACCACTTAGCGACTGAACAACAACAATAATACATTTAAAGCGGTTAAGGCAGTCGACGTAGGCTACTGCCACTATTCAAAGACCACCTAGAATGTATCCTCCTTTGAGAGGTCTTCCTGATACTTTCCATGACAAGGAGACTTCATTGCTCCGTTTGTTTTCCCACAAAGTAGTACAAAACACTTGTCATTCCGCACTGCTCCGTCGTCTCCTCCACTATACATTCCCCGAGGCCAAGAACCTTGAATAACTCATCTTTATGCAGGGGCCTACCACCGTTCCGAGGTCATAGAAAGATTAACTATCTTGTGCTGAAACCTGTAATCACGAAGTCTGGGGTGAGAGCCCGTTCCGTCCCTGTCTGGCTTTGTGATCTCGGGCAGTAACTCAGCATCTCGAATGCCGGGCCACCTCCGACCTCGCCCACCCCTGGAGCGCGAAAGTGAGTAGAGGGCAGAGTTGCCATGGGAACCAGAAGATTACCATTAAGGCCGGCCCAAGCGGCCTTTCTCCCTTAGCTGCAGTCTCCCAGCCGGAAAAGGAGGCCTAGGGTCAGCACCCAGGCCCTCCTCTGCTTCCTGAGTCGGGTTTCACCTGTTTCATTCCTCCAACACGCTGAAGAGGAAAGCGTCCGAGCTCAGCCGTCACCACCAGAACTCACCTGTCCATGGCTACAGCCTTCTCCACCGAGAGTTGTGCAAACTCAGCTACAGTTTAGCCACCGCGTTTCAGCCTTCCCGCTCTCCGGAAGTAAACCCTTCGACCCGGAAGCAAGCTCTCAAGTTCTCGCGAGGGGTAGGAGGGCAAAAGAACCAACTTTCCCTCTAGGCGCATGCACAAATTCTTTCGCCGGCAACCGCACGTGCGGTCTGCGCAGGCGCAAAGTTGTGTCGGGGATTGATGGCGCCGGGCTGGGCCGGACCAGGGGCGGGGCAGGAGTGGGGTAGGAGGCGGGGCCTGACCGTTTAGCCTTGCTGCGCGGCCGCCACTTTCTTGACTGACATTTGTGGGCGTGGTCCAGGCGCTGGGGTTCGGCTGGAGGTCCTGATTTATGTTGATGGTGTAGAAAAACGTGAAGCCATTTCCTCATACTCTATGAGAAACAGCCTGGACGTTGAATTCAGACGTGCCGGCTCTGCCCTTATATGTCTGCTTGTATGTCTCTGACTATACTCACCTTGTTTGAGCTGTCGTGTAAACCCCTTACAGTTTTTGAAACTGTTTTCCATAGTGACTAATTATTCTTTACTTGGTATGTTTCCCTATTAAGGAGAAAATGATCACCTGTCTTAAAAAGTATAAAAGGCGTTGGTATCGCCCTCTATTTCAAAGTGCAGTAGTGAAAAATTTGTATATTCTAGCCCTAAAGGAATAGGTTTACGTTTTCCGTAGGCATTTGTTGATATATTCCACCCTAATCCTGGGAAACGTTGTTCCAGGAGGACTTCTTCATACCTAATTCCCACTGAGACAGCGTGGGGTTTTGAAAAAACGTGGCTTTGAGCTCCGTGTAGGTTAGAAACCCCAGCGCTGCAGATTCCTCGCCTGTAAAATGGAGATAACGCGTTCATCACCGAGTTCTTGGGAGGATTAAAACGAGATGTCAAATGTGCATTGCACATAGTAGTCATCGAAATGTTAATTTTCTCCTCCTTCAATAACTATTTGAATCTCACCGTAGTACCCTCGTTTTTTCCCATATTCTAATTTTTCTTGTACAGAAGAGTACTCGTCTCTTAATGGAAAATGAAATGTGGTCTTAATGTTTTTTTGTCAGTACTGGAATCAGGTTTATTCAAAGTAGGAGCCAGTGTTTCAGGTTCTTGCCATGTGTCCCCTGGCAAATGAATTGTAAAGTGTTTTATTCATAAAATGCATTTGCGATGATTGACCATAAGGCACACAGTAAAAGGGAAGAGCAGTTTGGAGCAAAAGATTACCTCCAAGGTTCAGTTCATATGTAAAGAGGGAACATTGTTTAAAAAGTGTACCAGGACACTGTCCTGGAGGTCCAATTGTTAAGACGTTGCCTTCCCCTGAAATGGGTGTAGTTTTCATCCCTGGTCAGGGAGCTAAGAACCCACATGCCTCAGAGCCAAAAAGGAAAAAACAAAAAAAGCCCATAAGTAAACAACAGAAGCAACATTGTTACAAATTCAATAAAGACTTTAAAAATGGTCCACATCCAAAAAAAAAAAAAATTAAAAGTGCCCCATCTGAAAGGCAAGCCCAGAAACAAGGAATGATTTTTTTTTTTTTTCAAGGAATGATTTTTATGGGCTGGGTAATTTCATAGACTGGGGCTTCCCAGTCTGCCTGCCTGCCAAGCAGGAGACGTGGGTTCGATCCCTGGGTCAGGAAGATACCTTGGTGAAGGAAATGGCAACCCCCTGCAGTATCTTGCCTAGAGAATCCATGGACAGAGGAGCCTGTAGGGCTGTAGCCTATGAGGTCCCAAAAGATGCAGACATGATTTAGTAACTAATCAGCTGCAGTAATTTCATCGGCTAACAAGTGGAAGAATTATTTCAACTATTTTGGAGAAGGCGAGAGGATTTCGAGGAATTGGGCCACCACCACTTGATTGCCTTTTATGGTGGGTAGGCCTCAGAACTGTCATGGCAACTGTTATTTAAATGCTAATACATGTAAATCCATGGCTAATTCATTTCAATGTATGACAAAAACCACTGCAATGATGTAAAGTAATTAGCCTCCAACTAATAAAAATAAATGGAAAAAAATAATAATAATAAATGCTAATATATTACAATGAGCTTATGAGGCTCAGGCTTCCGTTGTGGCTCAGCTGGCAAAGAATCCACCTGCAATGTGGGATACCTGGGTTTGATCCCTGGTCTGGGAAGATCCCCTGGAGAAGGGAAAGGCTACCCACTCCAGTATTCTGGCCTGGAGAATAGTTCATGGGGTCACAAAGAGTCAGAAACAACTGAGCAACTTTCACTTCACTTTATGAGGCTCAGGGTCTACTGGAAGTTGAATCGTCTGTCGTCTTGGACCTAACTGGTTCTAACAGTTTATGTCCTATTCTCAAAGGCTATGTCATTTTTAAAAATAATAATTTTATTTATTTATTTTTGGCTGTGCTGGGTCTTCGTGGCTGAGTGGGGTTTTCCCTCCTTGTGGCGAGCAGGGACTGCTCTCCAGTTGTGGCGTGCAGGCTCTTCGTTGCAGTGGCTTCTTGCGTTGAGGATCACAGGCTCTGGAGCACGCTGGCTTCAGCAGTTGGGACTCCTGGGCTCTAAAGCACAGGCTCGGTTGTTGTGATGCATGGGCTCAGTTATTCATTTGGGATCTTTCCAGACCAGGGATGGAACCCAGGTATCCTGCATTGGCAGGTAGATTCTTTACCACTGAGCCACCAGGAAAGTTCAAAGCCTATATCATTTTTTAAAAGGTTGTACCCTGCCCCGTTATGTTCTGTTTCAGTTTTACACCACGACATTTGGGGGTTGCTTGTTACATAGCCACAGATAACTGGAACACATAGGATTAGACTATAGCACTGTTTTATAATCTGCTTTTCCACTTAACAGTGTGAACATTTTATCATGTCAAGTATCACTCATCTCCATAATTCTTAAATTAGCCAAATATTTTGAAAGAGGAAACTTCTGTCTCTATTTACATTAACGATACAGCTTAACACAGTCTGACTTCAACCCTCACTGCTAAACGAAAACTGCTCCCAGAAAAGTCACCAAAGATGTCTTTGTCAGTACAAATTTACTTTTCATCTCTCATCATCTTGGGTGCATTTGACCCTGTAGACCACTTTCTTGTCTGCCACCTTCCTAGAGATGGGTGTCAGGACTTTACTAATGGGCTTCTCCGGTCTGAGTCCTCTCTGGCTTCTCTTAACTCATCTCCTATGTGGGCTTTTGACATCTGTCTTTCCCTTAAATGTTGATTCATTTTCTTCAGAATCCTAACCAAAGCTCTCTTTTTTTCAACACTGCACAATCCTCAGTCTTTAAACTACCAACTCTTCCTTCCAAGATTCTCACTCTATACTTCTAGTCCGTATCTTGCTTTTACTGGACATGTCCACTTTGAGGATACAGAGTATCTGAAATTTAATATGTTCTAATTCTAAGCTTGAACTCAACAGATCTGCCTCCTTGCTCAAGTCCCACCAAAACAACACAACTACAACCCTATCTCTCCTCCTGTATTTTGCATCTTCACAAATGGCCACATACAGTTGCCCAAGCCAAGAGCTCGGGTTTGATTTCAGTAGGAGCGAAGTTTCACAGGGCACAGGTATTCATCTCTTCACTGTAGGTCCTCCAACTGAACTTTTTTCTTCCTCTTGCTGGGAGAGTGATCTTCTAAAAATATAAGTCTGATTGGGTCACTCAAATTTCAATTCCTATGTGATCTCAATTTTTACCTTCAAACTACTTTACTCAGGCTTCTGGCATCATCTCACCACTCTCTTTATCTCAAATTCTATGTTGTAGACATATTCAATTACAATTCCAAACATTCTGTGGCCACTTGCCATTTGTTCTCCACTTCTACCAAGCAGAGGCAAAAAGGAGTAATCAATGTCCACATCACGGATGCTATTCAATCATAAAACGATGTTTAGAGATAGTTCATAAAAACTTGGAAGTGTTTCTGTTTTGTTTTAAATCAGGGAAGCAGGTGGACATGTATTATATACATCAATATGCTCAGAAACACTGTAAAAATACTAAATAGGGGCTGGGATGATAGTGATAAAAGATGAATTGGTGGATCACAGTTTTTTTTTTAGGGCACTGAAAATATTCTGCATGATAATATAATGGTGGATACATATCATATATATTTGTCCAAACCCATAAAATGTACAACACAAAGAGTGAATGAACCTTTTGGTAAATATCAGGAGTAAACCCTTTTGGAAACTCTATGGACTTTGAGTGATTATGATGCTAATGCAGGTTCATCAGTTGTGAAAAAAATATACCACTCTGGTGATACAGGTTGATAATGGGGAGGCACTACATGTATGAGTGGGGGTCGGGGGGAGATATGGAAAATTTGTGTATTTTCCTCTTAACTTGTGCTATGAACCTAAAACTGCTCTTAAAAAAAAGGAAGTCATTTAAAAAATATCTGAAACATCACACGAAATTGAGAGAGTCATTTCCAAGGCAGGTTGATAAGAAGTCTAGGGGTCCCCAAGGAGAAAGAGGTCTGGAATATTCAAGGAGGAAGGAAGGACAAACTTGTTACTTTTTTTCCTCTACATTCCTTAGGATTATATAACAATAATGTATCCTGCCTGAGGACAGTCTTTGGATTAAACCCTCTGGCTAATTCTGTTATCTTAAGAAATAAATTATGGGAGTAGGTCTCATGAGGTCTTTACAACCTCCAGACATTCTTTGGATTCATTGGAGAGTATATAACTCCATTGCTAACACTAGCAAGTGGGTAGTCTTTCTACCCCCTTCTGATGTCTATGTCAGAAGCTTTCTCTATCTCCTTTATACTTTAATAAAACTTTATTGCACAAAAGCTCTGAGTGATCCGGCCTTGTCTCTGGCCCTGGATTGAATTCTTCTCCTCCAGAGGCCAAGAACCCCAGCGTCTTTGCGTGATTAAGAAACAACCTTTCAAAATGTTGATAGTCGTTGTCTTTGGTGAGATTTGAT